CCAGGGCCGGGGACAAACTGTAACCGAGGTACGCACCCTTAGCGGGAACCGAACCCGGGTCTCTCTGGACCGCAGGCCCACACTCTAACCGCTGAGCCAACCCGGCCAGGGCCTTTTCCCGACTTGAAATTGCCTTCCTAGTCTCTCGGTTGGCCCTCTTGGTTCTGCACGTAGATTCTGGGGGGACGCTTTCATGCTGTCGGTCTCCCCCAAGGCCTGTGATTCGTGGTTGGGTTCTCATCTTTGTTCTGAGAGTCCCTCTTTGCCTGTTGATCTGAGCCATGTCCCTGACTCCGGGACTGCAGGGCAGATGTGGCTGTCAGGGTGGATGTCAGAGGGTGCTCTCCCGGGCAGGAGTCTTCCCGGGCAGTCGCATCACAGGGCACCAGGCCCTGCCTCTCCTGCCAGGCCAGCCACGGCTCCTCCCTGGGGACTGCACAGCTCCCTGGAGGGTGACTGCTCCTCCTTCGGTAAATCCAACCAAACCCCGCCTGCTGCTCCCTGGCACAGCTGCCTCCAAGCTTGGAGGGGCCACGCTCCACTTTGCTTGTTTCAGAGTTTTTATTTTCTTTCATTTTTTTCGTATCTGTCTTCTGTCCTTTAAAGAGTCCGCATAACTTCTGTCCACTGAAGTCCCCATCCTACCTTTTAGGTGCTGCTGGAGGTATGTTTGTACACCCTCCCCCCAGCCACGAGGCTACCGCTGCCCACCCCACTCCTTTTTGGGTAGAGATTTTAAAAATAAACATACTCTCGCCCTGGCCGGTTTGGCTCAGCGGTTAGAGCGTCGGCCTGCGGTCCGGAGAGACCCGGGTTCGGTTCCCGCTAAGGGCACGTACCTCGGTTGCAGTTTGTCCCCGGCCCTGGTTGGTCGTGCGGGTGGCAGCCACTCGATGTGTCCCTTTCACATCGATGTTTCTCTCTCTCTCTCTCTCTGTTCCTCTCTCTCCCTCCCACTCTATCTGAACAAAAAAAAAAAAAGGAAAAATGTCCTCGGGTGAGGATTAAAAAAATAAATAAATAAATAATGAAAAAAATAAAAATAAACATACTCTCTTATTTCTAAGAATTTATTCTGAGGGAGGAAGACCTGGGCCTGTGCTCAGATTTTTTTTTTTCAATCCTCACCCGAGGACATTTTCCATTTATCTTCACACAGAGTGTGACGGAGGGGGAGAGAGAGAGACATCGACTGGCTGCCTCCCGCAGGACCCTGACCAGGGCTGGGGACCGAACCGCAACCAAGGTACGTGCCCTTGACCGGAACCAAACCCGCTACTCTTTGGTCCACAGGCCAACGCTCTAACCGCTGAGCCAAACCAGCCAGGGCTGTGCTCAGACTTTTTCTTTTTATCCTCACCCGAGGACACTTTTGCATTTATCTTCAGATAGAGCAGGAGAGAGAGATGGGGGAAGAGAGAGAGAAACATCGATGTGAGAGAGAGAGACATCGACTGGCCACCACCCACATGACCCCAACTGGGACCGGGGATGAACTGCAACCAAGGTGTGTGCCCTTAGCGGGAACCGAACCCGGGTCTCTCCAGTCTGTGGGTTGACGCTCTAACCGCTGAGCCACACCAGCCAGGGCTGTGTGCAGACACTTTGATCCATTTTCTCAGGACATTTTCTGGTCATGTATCCTTGAGGTTGGGGTAAAAACCCTGGGGCCAGTGAGTAACAATTTTCTCTAGCAGACGGCTTGTCACTGTTTTTAACTGAAATCTGTTGTCCCCTCATCCTTTCCTTCATTCTCCTCCCTTCCCTTCCTGACTTCCAGCCTGAAGACATTAGGCTGGACGGTGCACGGTAGGTGCCCCTGGGGGGACAGCCACTGTGGCACCGAGCCGGTGTGGATCCCAAAGGGGAGGAAGGGGTTGGCACCGGCGGCATGCCCCGCACAGGGCGCTGACACAGAGGAGTCCACACGGGGTCCCCAAGGTCAGGGCAGCAGCAGGCATCACACCTGGGGCAGGGTGCCGAGGGCGCCTCAGCAGTAAAGTCAGAACTGGAGCACAGCGAGGACATCCACAGAGGGCACCTGGCATTTCCCACGCGGGTGGCAGGGGCACTCACACGGGAAGTGGGAACCAGAGCTCCACCAAGAGGGTCGGCTTGGCCAGGTGTCGAGCTCAGGCAGGGGGACAGCGTCTGCAGGAAAGAGCCAGCGCAGCTGGAAGGTGGTACATACGGGGTAGATCAGATAGAAAGGTTAGCCCTGGCCCGTGTGGCTCGGCGTTAGAGCGTCGGCCTGCGCACCGGAAGGTCACGGATTCGATTCCCGGTCAAGGGCACATACCTGGGTGCTGGTTTGCTCCCCGGTCGAGGTATGTGCAGGAGGCAACCAACTGATGTGTCTCTCTCACTGTGTTTCTCTCTCTCTCCCCCTCCTCCCTTCCACTCTCTCTAAATGGAAAAAAATATCCTTGGGTGAGAGAGAAGGAAAAGAAGAGAAAGAAAAGGAAGAAAGAAAATATATAAAGAATAATGGGAGAAATTTATTAAGGATAATTTTTCCGTCTTGGACACTGGAGGTAGAAATATGAAAAGGAGAAAACTAGAATGAACCCTGATTCTAGACTAGGATTGGAGGCACCAGTGTGAACACGTGCGTTTAATATAGATGACGGGTGTAAAGGTGTGTGCTGGGTGCTGGGTGCTGGGTGCTGGGTGCTGGGTGCTATGTGCTGGGTGCTGGGTGCTATGTGCTGGGTGCTGGGTGCTATGTGCTGGGTGCTATGTGCTGGGTGCTGGTGCTATGTGCTGGGTGCTATGTGCTGGGTGCTGGTGCTATGTGCTGGGTGCTGGGTGCTGGGTGCTACGTGCTGGGTGCTACGTGCTGGGTGCTGGGTGCTGGGTGCTATGTGCTGGGTGCTGGGTGCTGGGTACTGGGTGCTATGTGATGGGTGCTAGGTGCTGTGTGCTTGCACAGACATGGACCCCCTATCCCTATCCACCAAGATGGCCTGGGACCAGCAGCACCCCAACGATGAGCACACCTTGGCCACCCCACCCAAGAATGCTGTTTTTCCCTGCTGCCAGTTTTTAAGGTTTGTGGTATGACCTCTTTCCTTGTTTTGTTGCTGATGCTAAAACAAAGAGTTGGTGGCACCTGACATTCACACTGAGAAGTGAGGATCAACAGCTTAACGTCACAGCTCAGGAAACGGGGGCTCAGAGGAGGGGAAGTGACGCGTCCACGGCCACCTGGCACTGCGCGGGGAGCCAGGGACCTGACTTAGGTGGGTCTGGCTCCTTTCCCTGAGATCCTGAACACGAGCGAGAAAGGAGCTCAAGGGAAGAGGAGACAGAAACCCTTCAGAGCAGGAGTGAGAGACTGGGACCTGTGTGAGCGCGCCAGACATGAAGGGACAGGGCAGGAAGTGCAGCGCTCGTGCCCAGTGCAAGACAGAGCTGGATGGAGCCCGAGACCTCTGGGCAGCACCTCAGAACCTCTGTGCGCTGAGGGACCACCCGCTGGCCAGGGCAGAGCAGATGCAGCAGGACCAGACTAAGGGCTTCTGAGCTTGTAAACTTGACAGAGATGAACTCAAGACCCCACACTCCTCTCTCTCTGCAGGAAACCACGGGGTGGCAGTGCCCAGGTGGGCAGAGGGACAGCTTAACCTTGAACTCTTAATTGGACCTTTATCAGCACCTAGGCCCCCATCCCACCCCGGGTGGCAGCTGCTCAGAGGAAGGGACTGTCCAGAGTTCTGCCTGGCCCCGCCCCCGCAGACTGGGCCTGGGAGAAGAGGAGGAAGACACAGCTGGCGCCTTCCAGCCGGGGCCTGACACTCACCAGCGGGCTCTGCCAGCCGGAACAGAGGGTTCTGTGCGCAGATGGGACCCCACAGCCGCCAGGTCTGCAGGAGAATGCGCGCCAGCCTCCATCGGGGGCGGGAGGGTGAGGACGGAGTTGGGGGAATGAGGACTAGGCCTACGCACTTGAACAGCTTCCAGTTTGGGTTTCAGATTCTGACTTCAGGGCCACGTACGAGGATACAGCCGCCAGCTGGGTCATCGAGAGGTCGTGGCCACCCCTGGACCTGTGAGCTAACTCCCCATCCCCTCCCTTGTCTGAGGAATGTACCCTGCCCACCGTTCCCACAGTGAGAGCCATTTTCAGGGACACAGCCACGAGGTGGTACTCTGGCACTGAGACCATCTGGACGGTGTGTGTGACTGGACCCCGTGAAGGCCTCTCCATAAACTTCTAAAATTCTGGGGGCTGGTGCAGAGACATAAGGCCCCTTGCTGATCACATCTGCCGCCCAGAATCTGCAGCTGGCTGTGTTTGTTTGTTTTTTAATCCTCACTCGAAGACATTTTTTCATTTTTTGTTCAGATAGAGTGGGAGGGAGAGAGAGAGAAAGAGAGAGACACATCGAGTGGCTGCCACCCACACAACCCAACCAGGGCCGGGGACAAACTGCAACCGAGGTACGTGCCCTTAGCGGGAACCGAACCCGGGTCTCTCTGGACCGCAGGCCGACACTCTAACCGCTGAGCCAAACCGGCCAGGGCCAGCCTGTGTCTTCTCCAGCCTCTCTTTACCCTGAGTGTATGGGGTCCAGTTTATGAAGCAGCAGGAGCCAGGGTCACAGAGCTTGGGGTGGGTGGGCTCCTGTCAATCATGAGGGTGGGAGAACAAGCCCCGAACAAGCAGACCTAGGTGGGCAAATCCCTGGCAAATGTGCTGCCATTGCTATTACCACTCCCCCACCCTAAGGCTTCCACTATCCACAGCCTTGGGGAGACGCACCATAGAGACCAAACATGAATGATGCTCCCTGAGTTGGCTGACTTGGCAGATCTGTACCCCCAACTTTCCTACCAATCCCAGTCTCTGCTCAGTCTCGACTAAGGCTCCAAATCCTTCTCCTCTGACGTTAGGGCTTCAGACCCTGGCCCACTCCCCGAAGCTAGCGTAGAAGATGCTAAGCATCTGCCAACCTCCGGGAGCTTGTCCAACAGAGAGAGGCTGGGGAAAGACCATTTCACTGCTTTACTGGGAGGGGAATACACTCCGACACAAAGCAAGGCTCCGAGCCCAGCACGATCTCTAGCTCGAGATGCAGCTGATTGGCCGTGACTCTGTAGTGGCCCTTAATGAAGCCCCGGGAAGAACAAGAGCGGCACCTCCAGTAGGCCTGGATGATGCGGGCGGCGTGGAGCAGACGGCAGTAGCGCAGACGGATGCGCCACATGCGGACCCAGGACTGCAGCCTGACCGCCGCCCACTCCTTCCGTGTGAAAGACTCCAGCGCTGCCCGCCGCCTCTTCTCCAGCACCTTCATCAGCATCTGCCTCCACCATCGCTGGATGATCAGAACGTGGAGCACGGCGTGCAGCAGCGCCCGGCGCACCAGGTTGCCCCTCCACCAGGCCTGGATCCTGAGGGCTGGGTTCTTAGGGGGAGGCCTACTTTGGGTTGCTGGGATCTAGCAAGGAAAAAGAGAGGACGTTAGAGTGTGATCCCCCTCCAGCACCCATTTTTGATCAAAATGCTCAGCAATGTGGGGCTAGAGGGATCATATCTCAACATAATAAAGGCCACATATGAAAAACCTACAGCCAACATCATACTCAATGGGCAAAAACTAAAAGCATTCCCCTTAAGAACAGGAACAAGACGGATGCCCACTTTCGCCACTCTTATTTAACATAGTACTGGAGGTCTTAGCCATAGCGATTAGACATGAAGAAAAAATAAAGGGGATCCAAATTGGAAAGGAGGAAGTGAAACTGTCATTATTTGCTGATGACATGATATTGTACATAGAAAACCCTGAAGACTCCATCAAAAATCCACCAGACTTAATAAATGTATTTGGCAAAGTAGTAGGATACAAAATTAACGTCAAGAAATCAACAACATTCTTATACACCAATGATGAACTCACAGAAAGAGAAACTAAAAAGACAATCCCATTTACCATTGCAGCAAGAAAATTAAGATATCTAGGAATAAACTTAACCAAAGACATAAAGGACCTCTTCACAGAAAACTACAGGTCATTGAAAAAGAGAGGAAGATATAAAAAAGTGGAAGCACATACCTTGTTCATGGATTGGAAGAATTAACATCGTTAAAATGTCCATACTACCCAAAGCAATCTATAGATTCAATGCACTCCCCATCAAAATACCAACAACATACTTCACAGAACTAGAACAAATACTCCAAAAGTTTATATGGAACCAAAAATGACCCCAAATAGCTACAGCAATCTTGAAAAAGAAGAACAAAGTAGGAGGGATCACATTACCAGATTTCAGGTAATACTACAAAGCCACTGTAATCAAAACAGCCCTGTACTGGCACAAAAACAGGCAGATAGATCAATGGAACAGAATAGAGAACCCAGAAATTGACCCAAGACAATATGCTCAATTAATATTTGAGAAAGGAGACAACAGCATACAGTGGAGTCAAGACAGTCTCTTCAATAAATGGTGTTAGCTGCCCTCGCCGGTTTGGCTTAGCAGTTAGAGCGTCTGCCTGCGGTCCAGAGGGACCCGGGTACGGTTCCCACTAAGGGCATGTACCTCAGTTGCAGTTTGTCCCCGGCCCTGGTTGGTCGTGCAGGTGGCAGCCACTCGATGTGTCCCTTTCACGTTGAAGTTTCTCTCTCTCTCTCTCCCTCCCACTCTATCTGAACAAAAAATGGAAAACAAATGTCCTTGGATGAGGATAAGAAAAAATGGTGTTGGAAAAATTGGACAGCTACTTGCAAAAAAATGAATCTAGAACACCAACTCACACCATACACGAGAATAAACTCAAAATAAATAAAAGACTTAAATGTAACTCGTGAATCCATAAAAATTCTAGAAGAAAATGTAGGCAACAAAATTTCAGACATCATGCACAGCAGAATTTTCACTGATACATCACCTAAGGCAACAGAAACAAAGGAAAAAATGAACACATGGGACTACATCAAACTCAAAAGCTTCTGAACAGCAAAAGACACAACCATCAAAATGGAAAGGAATCCCGCTATATGGGAGACCATAAACACCAATGATGCAACAGATAAGGGGTTCATTTCCAAAATTTATAGAGTGCTCATACAGCTCAACAAAAGGAAGACAAAGAACCAAATTAAAAAATGGGCAGAGGACCTAAATAGACACCTCTCCAAAAAGGACATACAAATGGCCAAGAGACACATGAAGAAATGCTCAACATCACTAGTCATCAGAGAGATGCAAATTAAAACAACAATGAGGTATCACCTCACACCTGTCAGACTGGCCGCCATCAACAAATCATCAAACAACAAGTGTTGGCGGGGTGTGGAGAAAGGGGGACTCTAGTACACTGCTGGTGGGAATGCAAACTGGTGCAGCCACTGTGGAAAACAATATGGTGTTTCCTCAAGTAGTTACAAATTGAACTGCCATTTAACCCAGTGATCCCACTTCTAGGAATATACCCTAAGAAGCCTGAAACACCAATCAGAAAGAATATATGTACCCCCATGTTTGTAGCAGCACTATTTACTGTAGCTAAGATCTGGAAACAGCCCAAGTGTCCATCAGTAGACAAATGGATAAAAAAGCTGTGGTGCATATACACAACGGAGTACTATGCAGCTGTAAGAAAGAAAGATCTCTTATCCTTTGAGATGGCAGAGAAGGACCTGGAGAATATTATGCTAAGCGAAACAAGCCAAGCAGAGAAAGACATGATCTCACTTATTTGTGGAATATAATGAACTAAACAAACTGCTGAACAAAATTAACCCAGAGACACAGAGGTGGGGTACAGACTGACAAGCCTTGGGGGGGGCTATAAGCCACAGAACTTACATCATGTATGCATGACCAATGAACATAGACAACAAAGCTGGGGATGGGGCGGGAGGGAAGGGAAGGAGGGTGTCAATAGGGGAAAAATGAGAAACATCTATAACAAAAACAAATTAATAAATAAATAAAAAGTGTGATCTCCCACCCACTTCAGACCCACGGTTTGCCTGGAAGGGACCCTGACTGCCTAGTAATAATCACCCCTTTTTCTGGGCCTCAGGAACACTGGGCAGGGCACTGACTGGAACTGGAAGGCCAGCTGTCTGTCCCTCCCTGGTCAATAGATAAGACACATTGACCTCTGAATCTCAGAGTCCCCACCTATAAAATGGGATTACATCTGCCCTGGCTACCCGGTTTTAGATGCATCAAGTTGACCAGCCTATGGCACGAACAGCAGGATCGACGGGTCAAAAGGTCACCACGTTTCCTGAACCAGGGTCATGACCCTTCCCTCAGACCCACCCTCCTTCCGGGGAAGTGGCATCGGCTAATCCTGCCCTTCCAGCTTTGACTCCGCTCCAATCCACAACGCGCTCTGCCCTGCCTCAGCTTTCCGTTTCCTCCGCCCCGACGGTCCCCCCCTCCCAGCTCCGCCCGTCTTCTCTTCACTCTCACATCTTAAATCTTTTTTTTTATCCTGACCCGAGGATATTTTTCTATTTATCTTCAGATAGAGTGAGAGGGAGGGGGAAAGAGGGAGAGAGAGAGAGAGGGAAACATCGATGTGAGAGCAACACATTGACTGGCTGCCTCCCGCACAACCAGGGCTGGGGACGAACCGCAACCGAGGTACGTGCCCTTGACTGGAATCGAACCCGCGACTCATTGGTCCACGGGCCAACGCTCTAACCACTGAGCCAAACCAACCAGGGCCACATTTTAAATCTTAATTAACAAGCAAACATACATGCACAAGCTCAAACACACACACTGTTAAGTAAGCCCAGCTTCTCATATGTTGGCTGCTCCAGCCCCCAACACAGCCCCCACATGCCAGCCCAACGCCGTGTATCTGAGACTCATGCTTCTCTGGGCCCCTATTGGCCCTATCCTCTCTCTCTGACCCAGCCTTACTCGCATCATTATCTTTTTTTTTTTTTTTTTTAAATCATATGCCATTGGTTCGCCAGGATGCCGCTCTCTTTATTTGTTTGTTTTTTTATCCTCACCCCAGGATATTTTCCATTTTTTGTTCAGGTAGAGTAGGAGAAAGAGAGAGGAAGAGAGAGAGAGAGAAACATCGATGTGAAGGGACACATCGAGTAGCTGCCACCCGCACGACCAACCAGGGCCGGGGACAAACTGCAACCGAGGTACGTGCCCTTAGCGGGAACCGAACCCAGGTCTCTCAGGACCACAGGCCGACGCTCTAACAGCTGAGCCAAACCGGCCAGGGCTGCATTATTATCTTGACAAGGAAATGGGGGAAGAGGATAGACAAGGATAAGCTTGTTCTCGTTCTCAGCTCTAGACCATGCAAAAGGCACCACCACATGCACTGGGAGATAAGGGCCAGACACATCCAAGTCAGGGCGCCTCCTGCCTCTACCTTCTCTGAGGTCAGTGGCGCTAAGGACGAACCAGTCGGCTCCTCTTTCTTCTGAGGCTTATCTTCAGCATGTTCATCAATTTTTTCAGGCTGGTCTGTCTCCTGCAGTCAGCAATCAGGGGAAAGGCAGGAGTGAGGCTCCTCCCCTCCCCCCCCCCCCTCAGGATCCCACACATCCCTGGCTTCCAGGGCTTCCCAGAGTATCAATGCCAGGGGGTCCCCTCATCCTGGGAGAGCTTTGGGGACATGCCGAAAAAGCCTGTCTGTCTCTTACCATTGGTCCCACATGGATTGGAGGTAGATGGTTCAAATCCCCTCCGGTCTGTCACTCTGGCATGGCATGGGTAGGAAGAGTGAAGGGGGAGACCTATGATGTCATAAGGCCAGCTATGACTCAGGAACCAGGATGGCTCCCAATATTTGAGCTCCCTCCAAGGAAAAGACAAAAGTCTGTCCATTCTTTTCTGCTGTAAGTGGCCAAGGCCCTGACTATAAAAGCAAGATAGCAGACATACTGGCCCATTGACGTAAAGGTGTATAAAGACAATCAGTCACTGGTAACATCCCTAATTGGTAAAATTGGGGATTGATTTAATGGTTTACAGTCCATTCATACTATAGAATACTACATAACTGTCTAAAAAATAATGACTCTTATCTATCTGTACGGATGAGGACATGTATCCAAGATACTATAAGTGAAAAAGCGGAAGATCATCAGGACCCCACTTAAGTAAATAAAACCATCAAGATACATAATTCTACTTCTGTTATAAATGCATATAAAGGGGGAGAACGGTATATATACACCAAATTGCTACCAATGGTTACCTTAAAAGATAAGAGCTGAATTGCACACCCTTCCATACAATGCCCAGGGAACTCTGAGAGGCCCCAGGAGCAGCCAGGGCCCCATCTCAGGTTCCAATGGCTCAAGTGCTCGCCTGCCTTCTTCTGCCCCCAAGGGGCTCAAGGCCACACTCGGACGAGCGAAAGCAACCACTGCAGACGCTCCCAGCTCTGTTCTCAGCTCTGAAACATGCACAAGACACGAGGCACAAGACCCTGGACTCTAGGTGGGGACCTCCCCACCTCTGCCTTCTCCTGTCCTCTGAAAATAGTGGAAACTGAGGTAGATAAGAACTAACTAAAGTGGCAACCCAGTTCCAACCCAACTAAACTCCTAATCAATTGAAAAATGACTTCCCTCTGTCTCTTCCAGTGTTTGGCATGGAACTTTTCAAATGAGACGCTTGAAGAAGTAGGAAAATGTGACCTGTAATCAAAAGGGGAAAATCAACAGAAGTGGATCAGGTGACTCAAGCTGAAATTAGCAGACAAGACTTTAAAATAACTAATATGATATAAGCATGGATACAATGAGCAAGGAATTTAGACGAAAAGGCAGACAAAAGTGAATGGGAAAATGGAAGATTTCAGCAGATGTGTTAACTCTAAAAAACAGAACAAGCCCGGCCAGTGCGGCTCAGTGGTTGAGTGTTGACCCATGCACCAAGAGGTCGCCAGTTCAATTCCTGGTGAGGGCACGTGCCCAGGCTGTGGGCCTGATCCCCAGTGGGGGCATGCAGGAGACGGCCAATCAAGGTTTCTCTCATCAATGTTTCTATCTCTCTCTCCTCTCCCTTCCTCTCTCTCTAAAAATCAATAAAGAAAAAAAAAAAAACCAGAACAAAAACTAAGTAGAAATTCTAAAACTGAAAAATACAGTATCTAAAATAAATAATTCTCTGGATAGGGTAACAAAAAACAGAATTATTAAGCTCAAAGGCAAGTCAAAAATTATATAAACATGATAAATACAAAGAAAGCCACTTAGAGGTACAAATTGCTGAAAATTTTTTTAATCTTTAAAAACCATATAAAAAGGTTGTATTACTTTTAGGGGAAGAAAAATGAACGTGACAGATGACTTGTCATCAGAAACCAGTGGAAGCCAGGAAAGGATGGAACAACATTGCAAAGGGCTGAAGAAATGGGGGAGAGCCCACCTAGAATTCCACACGCAGAGACAATAACATTCAAAAATAAAGATACGGGAAGTAAAACAAAAGTCTGTTCTTACCACTTCTGTTTAACAATGTACTGAAGGTCCTAACCAGTGCAATAAGACAAGAAAATAAAATGAAATGCCTAAATTTTTTTTGTAAAAGTGATTAATAGCCCTGGCCGGTTTGGCTCAGCGGTTAGAGCGTCGGCCTGCGGTCCGGAGAGACCCGGGTTCGGTTCCCGCTAAGGGCACGTACCTTGGTTGCAGTTTGTCCCCAGCCCTGGTTGGGTCGTGTGGGTGGCAACCACTCGATGTGTCGCTTTCACGTCGATGTTTCTCTCTCTCTCTCCCGCTCATTCTATCTGAACAAAATATCGAAAAATGTCCTCGGGTGAGGATTAAAAAAAAAAAAAAAAAAAAGTGATTAATAGACAGTATGATTATGTGCATAAAAATTTCCAAAGATGTCTACCCAAAAACCTATGAGAATAAGGAAATCTAGCAAGCAGGAAGGTACCTATGTGTCGTGTGTACATATCTGTGGATATACAAAAAACACTGAACTGTACACTTTAAATAGGTGAACTGTATGGAATGTGAATATCCCAATAAAGCTGTTTTAAATAAAAATAAAAAGCACCCCCAAAGTTGAAAAACACAGGGCAATAAACAAAAATCAATTTCTATACATCAATAAACAGTTGGGAGCCCCGGCCGCTTTGGCTCAGCAGTTAGAGTATAGGCCCACAGAGTCCCGAGTTCGGTTCCCGCTAAGGGCATGCGCCTCAGTTGCAGTTCGTCCCAGGCCTTGGTTGGGGGTCATGTGGGTGGCAACCAGTCGATGTGTCTCTCTCACATCGATGTGTTTCTCTCTCTCTCTTCCCCCACCCCCACCACTCTATCTGACGATAAATGAAAAAATATACTAGGATGAAGATTTTTTAAAAAATTTTGTTTTAAAGAAAAAACTATAAAATTACAGTAATCAAGGCAACATGGTTTTAGTGTAAGAAGAGGCAAACAGATCAATGAAACAGAATAGAGAAGCCAGAAATAGACTTACATTTACACAATCTATTGATTTTTTAATGTATCAAAATAATTCCATGCAGAGAGGAAGTGCATTTTTCGATGGGAAAAAAGCTTGAGTCTTCTCTAAATCATAGACAGAAAAACATTAACTCAAGATCTATCACAGGCCAAAACCAAAACTAAAGCTAAAACTGTAAGGCTTATAGAAGAAAGCCTATGAGAATTGCTTTTTATTTTATTTTTTCTTCTTTGTTGATTTTAGAGGGAGAGGGAGAGATAGAAACATAGATAAGAGAAAACATCGACTGGCCGCCTCCTGCATGCCCCGCACTGGGAATTTGTCCTATGACCTGGGCATGTGCCCTGACCGGGAATCGAACCGGCGACCTCCTGGCGCATGGGTCAACGCTCAACCACTGAGCCACACCAGCCCGGCTAGAATTACTTTGTGACCTTTGCATCGACAAAGATTTCTTAGACAGGATAGAGAAAGCACGAAGTATAAAATATTGATAGATTGGACTTCATCCAAACTAAAACTGTCTGCTCATCAAAAGACAGCACTTTTTAGAGTCACGGGCCTAGGAAAAGAACATTTTCAACATATATAACTGACAAAGGACTCATATCCAGAATACAAGATGTTCTACAACTTAATATAGACAGGAAGCCCAATAAAAATGGTTGAAAGTTTAAACCAATACTTTATTAAAAAATCTACAAATGGCCACTAAACAGGGACAGTTGCTCAACATCGTTACTTATTAGGAAAAGGCAAAATTTAAACCACAGTGGGATACCACAAAATATCCATTAAAGATGGCTGGAACATAAAGGGGAAAAAGAGAACCAAACATTGGCAAGATGAAACAACCAATCTAGAAATCGGTGGGGCTGTTTCTGATAACATCAAGCACGCCTGCACCTGCTCCAAGACTTGGCCATCCCACTCCTAGGCATCTACTCAGGAGAAAGGAAACTGTTCAAAGGCTTGCACAGGAACTTACAATGCTGGCAGCATTACAAGCATAATAGCCAAACACTGGAAGCAAGTCAAATGTCGATAAACAGAAGAAAAGATAAAGTTTGAGTATACTCATAAAATGACATACTATTAAACAATAAAAAGCAAAGAACTAATTAATGATATGAGCAACGACATGGATATATCTTTTTTTCAATTAGTTTATAATCAGTGTTTTGTGTTGAAAGTGTGACATGGACATATTTTATAGACATCATGTTGAGCACAGAAAGCCAAACACAAAACGGAACATACTGTTTAATTCCATTCATATGAATTTTACAACGTGCAAAACCAGTATCTGGTGATAGAAATCAAACAGTGCTTGCGTCTGGGAGTTGAGATTCATTAGAAAGAGGCCCAAAGGAACTTTCTGGAGAGAGGCAAATGTTCTACATTTTGATGAGGTGTAGATTATGGGATATACCCATTTGTCAAAACTACCCATTTAAGATTTCTTCAAATTATACCTTGATTTTTTTTTTTTTATCCTCACCCAAGGACATTTTTCGATATTTTGTTCAGATAGAGTGAGAGGGAGAGAGAGAGAGAGAAACATCGACGTGAAAGCAACACATCGAGTGGTTGCCACCCACACGACCCAACCAGGGCCGGGGACAAACTGCAACCAAGGTACGTGCCCTTAGCGGGAACTGAACCCGGGTCTCTCCGGACCGCAGGCCGACGCTCTAACCGCTGAGCCAAACCGGCCAGGGCCCTTGATTTTTTTTTAGATGAAGTTGAAATAAAGGCATTTGAAAAAAAGAAAGAAAAACAGGAGTTGAGATAGGTTATCACACGTAGATTCACACAAGAAATGCTAAAACAAAGATTCCAAGTGGAAGCCCGGATCAGCAGGTAGTAGAAGCCCCAGTACTAAATGTGAAGGTCAATAGAAAGGGCCAGCTTTTAAAATTTCTTTTAAAATAGCCCTGGCTGGTTTGGCTCAGCGGTTAGAACGTCGGCCTGCGGTCCAGAGATACCTGGGTTCGGTTCCCACTAAGGGCATGTGCCTCGGTTGTTTTCCCCGGCACTGGTTGGGTTGTGCGGGAGGTGGCCATTCGATGTGTCCCTTTCATGTCGATGTTTCTCTCTCTCTCTTCCTCTCTCTCCCTCCCACTCTATCTAAACAAAAAAAAAAATGGAAAAATGTCCTCAGATGAGGATAAAAAATAAATAAAATTTCTTTAAAATACTATTGAATCTGCCCGGCCAGTGTGGTTCAGTGGTTGAGCGTCGCCCCATGGACTGAGAGGTCCGGGTTCGATTCCCGGGCAGGGCACATGCCAGGGTTTCGAGCTCAATCCCCAGTAGGGGGCGTGCAGGAGGCAGCCGATTGATGTTTCTCTCACATAAATGTTTCTCTCTCCCGTCCTCTCTCAATAAAAATAAAATAAAAACATATTTTGAAAAATACTATTGACTCTGATACTAGCAGGACGGAGCAGGCGTACCCCAGCCAGTCCCTCCCAGTGACAGCCACCAAACACCGCATATAAAAAGCAACAGGAGGCCCTGGCCGGTTTGGCTCAGCGGTTAGAGCGTCGACCTGCGGTCCTGAGAGACCCGGGTTCGGTTCCCGCTAAGGGCACGTACCTCGGTTGCAGTTTGTCCCCGGCCCTGGTTGGTCGTGCGGGTGGCAACCACTCGATGTGTCGCTTTCATGTCGATGTTTCTCTCCCTCCCACTCTATCTGAACAAAATATCGAAAAATGTCCTCGGGTGAGGATAAAAATAAATAAATAAATAAATAAAAAGTGAGTGGAGTCTAAAAGCCAAGAACAGTGATGGGTTGGAAAGAAACTCCGAACTTGAGGACAACCGGTGCCAGTCCCCGGGTGGAAGTGGAGGGCAGCCCAAAAGGCACGACGACCCAAGTGTGACAGCACGCAGCCCGAGGGAGCCCCTCTTTCTCCCAGAGGCTCAGACAAAAAGACACTTCCTCAAGCCAGAGACCACAGAAAACATGTTTTTATTTCCTTTCCCCTTTGCCCGTTTTTTCTGTCCTGTGGCGCTGGCCCTAGGCCAGGTCCCAGAGCCGCACTGCCACGGTGGTCCGAGCGGAGGGCAGGGAGCTGGGGAAGGAGGCCACAGAGGGGCACCCGGAGCAGCTGGCTCCGTCCTCAAGTTCCCAGGGAGAGGACGAAGCCCTCAGGCCCGCAGAGGAGCAGAACACGTTCTGTTGCGGCTGGGCCCTCCCAAGCCTTTTCCACCCCAGTCCCTGCCGTCCTCCCTCCCTCACTCCCCCAGGAACTGCAGAAGACGAGGCCTGAAAGAGGAGACTTTTAATACAAGGAGGCGGGGTGGTCTGGGAAGGACTTAAATAAAGGGCTGCGAGGTCAGGAGCCTGCGGCGGTGGGCCTGGGCGCCCTCCGGAGGGGGATGATGCAGACGGAGTTCCGAGCCTCTCTGATCCGCCACCACCGGCCCAGCCTGCAGCAGGAGGGAGGGAGAAGCCAGGACAGGCGGGTGCCCTGTGCCACCTTCCCCCACCCTCACCCTTGGGGGTGCCTCTTACCTGTGCTCCTGCCCCACCCCGGCCACCAGGAAGTCCCCAGCGCTGGAGAACTTGAGGCTGTTGATAAAGCCCACCTGCGAGGAGGGTGTGGTGACACAGCAGGGTGAGCACAGACCCCCCACCACAGCCTGGGCATCTTGACGGGGGCTTGGCTCGAGCAGACCTGCCTTCAATGCCCACTCCACCTCCTGCCTCCTGGGCCAGCCCGTTCCCGTAGGGGTGACAGGGACGCAGCACCAGCCTCGCGGTAGTTTTGTGAGGATCGAGGTGACGATGTACACCAGGTATGTCAGTGTGGCCCAGGGCCTGGACACCCCCAGGAGCACAACCACTGAGCCGAGCTCTGCACTGTCACCAGATGTCACTGACAGACCCGCCACTCTTCCTGAGGTCACCCAAGTCGGCCCGCCCTAGCTTAGCATCCACCCGGCACCGGCGTGCAGAACCAACCACAGGCCAGGCCCTCCACACCCTGGCCATGCCGCTCCCGGCCCTGCACCCCGGCACCAAGGCAGGAAGAGCAGTGGAGGGGAGAGGGACGGGTAGGAGGGCGGGTTCCTGCCAGGCCTCACGCTAGGAGCTGGACTATAAAGAGAAGTCACAGACAGCCCTGCTCTGAGGAGGTTCCCTTCTGGCAGAAAACAACAGTTAAGGGACCTTGGGAGTGTGGCCAAGACGGCTGGGCACTCAAGTCCCACTCACCAGAGGGATGTCACAGAGAGGGTCGAGCCGCCGGAAGCCCTCCCCGCACTGCCAGAGCCGCACGCAGGAGCTGTGGGAGCCTGGAGGGACAGGGAGAGGTCGGCACCCGCACCAGGCACCTGGGGCCCCTCCTCTGCCACACGGGGGCTCACCTGTGGCCACGAGGTCTGTGTTGAGCAAGGCTGCGACTGACGACACCCAGAAGGGCTGCTCCAGACCCGGTTCCCCCCGTAGCCCATGGGCCTCACGCTGCAGGGCAAGTGGCCTTTTCTTGGAGAGGCCCCACAAGGCCACAGAGCTGGGGACAGGGAGCAGGCAGTGAGGGGCCAGGGGCAGGCGGAAAGGCCCCTCGGTGGAAGGGCCCGAGTGCACATCGGCCGTGGGACATGGACCAGGCCACGTGTGCTCTCCCTCAGTGCCTCGGCTGTGCGGTGGTTAGAGCTGCTCCGAGCAGGGGCTCGCGAGGGAGTCCGGGAGCAGGGCAGAGGTGGCCGACGCCCGAAAGGCCGCTCTTACCCGTCGTCTGCGCCCGACACCATGTGCTCCTCATTGATGAGCTGGATGCTGTCGATGGAGCCCCTGGAGGAAGGAGCGGCGAGGGGCTTGGCCCAATCCAACCCTGCTCACGGAGTGCCCACGCCACCCCTCGCTGGGCGCTGCCTTACTGGTGGCCGTAGAAGACGAGCTGCGACTCCTCGGGGATCTTCCACACACGCACGGTCCCGTCCCGGCCGCCCGCTGTCACACAGCGCTCCCTGCTCAGAGCGTCCAGTGCGGCCACAGCGTCCTGGTGCCCGAAGCTGGAGGGGGACGGGGGTGGTCACCTGTGAACTCACCCACACGCCTGCATACCCCTCCCCACGCACACTCACAGGGTCTCCACGTAGGAGTTCTCCGCCACGTTCCACACCTTCACAGAGCGGTCGTGGGATGTGCTGCAGAGCTGGTGGGTGCCTCTGCGGAACGCCAGCCCCTGGGGTGCAGAGGGCAAGGGGCCTGGACTGCAGCAGCCGGCACAGAGGTCAGGCCCAGAGAGGACTCCCTGAGAAGCTAGTCCCACGGCACGGGAGCTCCCCCAGGGCGCTGTGGGCCACTTCTGGGCAGCCTACCAAGCCAGGGGCCCACTCACCTGCCCTCACCTGGCCTCAAGCAGCTGCAGGCGGCTCAGAGGGCTCCCCGCTCCCCGGGCAAGCTCAGATGTCCCCTGATGTCTCCTTTCCCTTGACCCCATTCATGACTCTGACAATGCCACTCACTATGCCAAAGTGCAGGTGCCCCGAGGACCTCATACACCCCTTTCCCCGGGCCCAGCACCAAGCCCGGACCACTCAGGTGCTCAGTCCGTGTCCGCCCAAGGAGGCCAGCTCCTCACCGACACGGCGTCCCGGTGTCCCGTGAAGGTGTACAGGTGCTTGCAGCTCTGCGCCTCCCAAATGAGAATGAGCTTGCTGCGGTCCCCCGAGGCCTGTGGGGAGGAGGACAATGGCCACAGGCACCCACTGGGTGCCCAGACCTCTCACCCACCCCCAAGCCAACCCTGCCTTACCAGGTACTTGCCATCGGAAGAGATGGCCATGCAGAGGATGTGGCTGCTGTGGCCGGGGGGCTGCCCCTCGGCGCCCTTCTTGGCTCGCGGGATCACGTGAAGCTTCCGTCCACTCTCCACGCTCCCTGACACCGGGGAAGAGAGAGGCTAGTGGGATGGGGGCAGGACTGGCTGACAACCCCTCCAGGGCAGCACGGGGCCTGGGGAGTCCTGGCACCAGGTCAAATCTGGCTCGGCCACTGTGAGGCCCTGGACAGGTCACTTCAGTGTCATCTGTCAAGTGGGGACCGTAACCCTAAGGGGCAGCCTTGAAGCCCAGAAGAGAAGGAAGAGGAAAGTGTTTTGGGACTGATGGTTCAAGTTCTTCCTGTTTCTACTGTGGACGGAAGAGGCTGGGAACCCAGGAGGACCAGGAATTCAGTCCCAGGACTGTGCAGAGCCCCTGGGGTCTTCTAGTCCAGCTGCCGACCAGCAGTGTGGACCCCCATTAAATCGTCATCCTGCCTCAGCTCACTCGTTTCCAGTGACAGTGACAGGGCGCACAAACCCCACTCCTGGGCAGAAGCTTCTACTGTCACCCAGAAACACTTATTTGGGAGCAAACCTGCCCATCAGGCCTGTTTGCCCCGATTCATCCTTCCTCCTAGACCAGCCCTCCCAGATGGCTCCTGGGGGCTGCACCCCACCCAGGCACCCACTCACACTTAATAATGGTGCAGTCCTTGGCAGCAGAGAAGATGGCCAAGTCGTCAGGGGTGATAACCAAACATGTGACGGAGAGCTGGTGGCCCCGTAAGACTCGAATGTCGGCCGGGGCTGGGGCCTGGATCTGGGCAGGCAGGGCTGGGTCACCACAACGGGGGCAGGCAGCACCCTACCCACACGCGCACGCGCACACCACCCCTTCACCTCCCTGCCCAGGAGACCAGACCCAGGGCTATAAGGGGACCAGACCCCGACCTGATCCTGTCTGTCCAAGTGCCCACCATGTTCCCAAGCAAAGATCCCCGCAGCCTGAGTCCCCAGTGGGCCATTTGCCCACCAACCCAGGTGGACCCCCAAGTCCCTCCAGTCTGACACTGAAGTGCCTGCCCACTCACCTCCTTCGCCACCGACTTCTGCAGCTTGCCCCTCTGCTCGAGCTGCAGGGACACAGGAGTGAGGCCCCACGAGCCAGACCCACCCCTCCTCCCACCGCACCCCGACGGCACACTCACCACCTCCTCCTTCAGGCGCCCTGCCACCTGGTCCTCCTCAAACTCGCGGGCCTCAGCCTTCTCCTCTTCTGTGGAGGGCAGACCCGACCCAGTGAGCCCAGGAACAGACGCCGCTTTGCCTTTCCCCTCCTGCTCCCTCCCCACCACCTGGGCCCAACAGCTGGGCTGTGTCCTGCAGGAAGCCAGGCTGCCTCGGGCAAAGGGGAGGAGCGCAGATGTCTGCTCCTGCCCACCTGCCTTACTTCTCAGATCTGTCTAAAGTCCCCTGGAGGTCTGGCCCATCCCAGGAAGCCCATTAGAGCTCCGGCCACCCTCCCACAGGGCAGCCGGCACCCCAGCCCGGGCAGCCCACTGGGTGCCTGCGTCAGTCACCCATCAGGTGACAGGGGCTGCAGCAGGCAGGCTTGGGCCCAGGCCCCGCCCCTCACCTTGCTGCCTGAGCTGCTCAAGGTACAGCTTGGCCAAGCGCAGCTTCTTCTCCTGTGCGGTCTCCTCCAGCTCCTCCTGCTCCTCTTCCACTGTCCTTCCGGGAGCTAGGCTGGAGGTGGGGGCTAGGTTTGAGGGGGCTCCCCCTGCTCCTCTGGCCACTAGGACCATGCCTCCTGGCTGCTCCCCCTGCCAGCTGCCGCCCCTACCCCCTGCCAGCCGGCATGGCCAACGCTTACGCAAGCAGAAACCTGAAGAGGTGACTTACCAGAGGGCCCACCCAGTGCCTAACAGAAGCATGAAAACAGACCCAAACCCAGAGAGATCACTGTGAAATCTCTCAACTCTGAAGGGACAGAGAAGGCTCTGCAGGTTCCTGAGTAAAATCAGGTCACGTACAAAGGTCAGGAACCAAAACGGCTTCAGACATCGCCACAGCAGCTCCGACAGCAGGAAGACACATGAAGAAAATGCTAGCCCCCGGAATTCCACGAGTACACCACCAGTGACAAGTGAAAGTATTGTCAGATGTCCAAAGTGCCACAGGACTGGTCCTTTCTCCTACTTTTAAGGACGGAGAATGTGCTCACGAACAGAAGGGTAAATAAAGAATGAGGTCAGCATGGGAGACAGGAAACAGGAGACCCAACATGAAAAGCAGAAAAGGTAGCTCCCAGAACCACCACCGACCGTCCTCAGATGTGGGGGAGCAGCCAGCCCAGATCCAATGTGAGGACCCAACCTGCCTGCCATCACCTCGCTGTCCCTGCACTGCCCTCTACCCTGAAGATGGGGTTCCAGTGAAGCTTCACCCTCTTGGCTTGACCTTGTGCTGGTGAAGTCCCTGCTTTCCCCCTGCATGCCCCAGTCCCTGGACTTCACTCAAGTCAAGTCCTCCTTTGACTTGCTCCTGGGAGCTGGAGAAAGGTCAGAGGAACTCAGAAGCAGAAAACCCCGGGCCGCCCATTCTCCCTGATCACACCCTTGCAGATACCTTGTCCCTGTCAGATATCCCAACTGGTTCCCAGGACTCACTCATGACCTTGCCCATGACTTCCCCAGAAAGGACCCTGGTCACTCTCAAGGCCAGACCATGCTCCAGAGACCATTTAGTACCTTCGGCCAACAGGACTGGCGCTGCCCTTCCTATACAAAGCCAAGGTCAGAACTTTTACTCAGTTCACCCAAGCTAATCAATCTCTTGTTTACGGGTTCACACACAGCAGACAAAACTCTAAAGAAAATCAAGGGGAGTATACACTGTATGATTCCACCCATATGCCATTCTGGAAAAGGCAAAACCCTAGGGGAGGGGCTGGGGGTGGGGGAGAGCTGACCACAGAGGAGCGGGGGGGTTTTGGAGGGTGATGAAAGCCTTCTACATCTTCACAGTGGTTTGCCTCTATCAGAGCCTACAGAGCGTACACTGAGCAAGGTGAATGTCACTGCATGTGAATTACAGCTGAATGAGAAAAATAAAAAGAGGAAAAAGGAAGAAAACCAAAGAAAATTACTAATTCAAGTCAGAAATGACAGTCGGGGCTTCTAATTTTCTGCAAATAGTCTAGTTCTTAAGTGGTGGGTGCAGAGAGGTTCATCATTTCCTCATCACTCTCTACAGTACAAATGCATTTCATTAGCACTGTTGTATCTAATACATTTCACGACACGTTTTAAAAACATTTCAAAGTGCTTAGCACATACCCACCCACAGTAACCTGAAGACTAAGAAAAGTATAGTAAATATTTCTGTGAGTGGGTTAAAGACAACACACATTCCACTTTAGAAGCAGAATTTCCAAAGGCAACTCTTAAGGCCGGCACCAGGATTCCCTGGTATGAGAACTTCCATTCCACAGGGTCAGGCCTGACACCTTGCTAGCCTGCTCTGAAACCCTGCCGCATGCCCCACCCCTGTACCCTGCAGAATGAGGGAGGTATTCAAAGCCCTCTGCAGCCCTGGCCAGTTTGGCTCAGTGGTTAGAGTGTCAGCCTGAGGTCCAGAGAGACCCGGGTTCGGTTCCCACTAAGGGTGCGTACTCGGTTGCAGTTTGTCCCTGGCCTTGGTTGGTTGTGCAGGTGGCAGCCACTCGATGTGTCCCTTTCACGTCAATGTTTCTCTCTCTCTCTTCCTCTCTCTCCCTCCCACTCTATCTAAACAAAAAATGAAAAAATATCCTCGGGTGAGGATAAAAACAAAACAAAAAACAAAGCCCTCTGCAAGCTGTAGCCACCACCCAGCCTTCCACCCTCTTCCATTCTGACACACTTACACCCCAGACTTATTTTGTTTTTTCATCTTCACCTGAGGACATTTTTCGATATTTTGTTCAGATAGGTGGGAGGGAGAGAGAGGGAGAGAGAAAGAGAGAGAGAGAGAGAGAGAGAGAGAGAGAGAGAGAGAGAGAAACATCAACGTGAAAGGGACACATCGAGTGGCTGCCACCCACATGACCCAACCAGGGCCGGGGACAAACCGCAACCGAGGTACGTGCCCTTAGCGGAAATCGAACCCGGGTTTCTCTGGACTGCAGGCCGATGCTCTAACCGCTGAGCCAAACCAGCCAGGGCTCACCCTAGACTTTTCTGATTCTTCAATGCTCATCTCTCCAGGGGCCCTATTTTATTTTATTTTATTTTATTTTATTTTATTTTATTTTATTTTATTTTATTTATCCTCACCCGAGGACATTTTTCGATATTTTGTTCAGATAGAGGGAGGGGGAGAGAGAGAGAGAGAAACATCGACGTGAAAGCGACACATCGAGTGGTTGCCACCCACACGACCCAACCAGGGCTGGGGACAAACTGCAACCAAGGTACGTGCCCTTAGCGGGAACCGAACCCGGGTCTCTTCGGACCGCAGGCCGACACTCTAACCGCTGAGCCAAACCGGCCAGGGCTCCAGGCCCTATTTAAATGTCCCCTATTCTGTTCCCAAAACATAGCTGTAAGCCACATTTCATTACAACACATTCAGTCTTCACCTGCCTGCTCATCTTTGTACTCCCAAAAGTGAAGCCAGCCCAGGCCTCTGTTGAGTCAGGAGGGAGACCAGTAATACTGAAATTGTGGGAAAAGGAAACGAGAAACTGGCCAGCATTTCTTTTATCTCTCTCCCCTTCCAAGTCAGTCCAGCCTGTGCTCAGCTCCCTGCCAGAGCCAAGGAGGTCTCAATGGTCTCCCACCAGCTCTGGGGTGGAGGGTGTCATCCCCAAACAGAGACCCTGCAGGGAAGGAGATGACTTCTCAGGATCAGAAACTGGAGGAAAGAGCCAAGATCTGAGAGTCAAGGGCCAGAGTTCTGGGTTCTAGGCCCAGCTCAGCCCGAACTCATTGAGACTTCCACACACCATGGGCCTCAGTGTTCCCTTCCACTAAGTGAAACAAGAGCTCACCTCTCACTCTCGGAGTCGCTGGAGATCTCTTCATTCGTCTTGCCGCCACCCTTGGGCTTGCCCCTGTCCCCGACAGAATCGGCCTGGGAATTACATGATCCTTTCTTTGGTCAGGGGTCCTGACCACTCTGGCGCTGACCAAGGGCCCCTTCCGGTGTCTCGAGCATCCTGGGGCTGGGAAAGGTGGTGCAAGGCGGCCTTCCGGGATTTGGCCGGGGAGAGAGGGACGAAGCTGACTCCAACAGGAGTCCCGGGAGCAGGGCCGGGAAAGGGCTGAGAAGGGGATGGAGGGGGTGCAGGTGGGGTGACAGTAGCAGATCTGATCCCCGGTGGCAAAGCGCCCTGCTCACCTTTCGCCGCCGCTTGCCGGCCCCCGCACCGGCCCGGGCCCCCGGGGCCGGTTTTCCCCGCTTTCGAGCCACTGCTGTTGCCGACATGCTGCCTACGGTGCGCGTTGCAGCCGCCGCGGGAGTCCTCACGTGGCGGCTGAACCCCGGCGGTCTGGCAACACTCCGCGCCCTGATAGGCCCCCAACGCCCGGCGGGCCCCGCCTCCCACGGCTCCATTGGGTCCTTTCATAGGCTTTGCCACGCCCCCAGTGCCCCATAGGATCGACGCTGCGGCCACGCCTCCTACAGCTCTCAGAAGCTCTCGCGCGGGGCTCCAGTAGGAAGTAAGCCTGTTCCAGGCTCCTCCGGCCCCCAGCTGCGGCGCCTGCGCACCGCTACTTAGCTGAAGTCGAAGGCGTGAACCAGGGGCCTTCTCTGTGTTCTCGCCTCTTGGACGCTTGGGGGAGCCCGAGATGCGGGGTTCCAATCCGGGGCGTGACTCCACCCCGTCAGGGGAGGGGACATGGATGTACCCGTGTGGCACTAGATAACTGCAGGGGTGAACCACCCCGCCCCGGAAAAAACGAAGTCGGAGCCCACACCTAAGACCAAGGTCACTGGGCAACTGGTGGACAGATATGGCATATGCGTCCCAGGCCAAAGGAGCAGCCCCAAGAGCGCGTCAGTCCTCTGGGCCTTTGCAGTGTCCATATCAAATATCCACCCATTCGTGGGGCAGGCTGCACATGTCCCTGACGCGGCCTCTGACTCACCCAACCACTGGCCACAGAACTAGAATCCTACACCACAACAACTTCAGCTTTTCCCCGCCTCTGGCTATTGTCAGGAAGTCCCTCCCTGAGTCACACCTAAGGCTTACAGAGGGTTGCTAGAGGGGCCCTAGAGCTGGGGTTGCTGTGGGAGGTCCTGATACTGGGCCCTGTGGGAGCCATCTCTCCCAGGTCCTGCTTCTCTTAGGTGAGTGCCCTATGGCCCCGGTCCAGAGTCCTTTGCTGGGCTGGGCAGGGCAGGGAGGGACTGAACTTGCTCACTGGCAATTCAAGGCCACTGGTCTGGGCCCCTTGCTGGTACCCCAGAACTACTGAGCTCCCTGGGAAAGGGTTCTGTGTCACTGGGTCCCAAGCTCTGGAGGAACAGATCTGGCCCCAGGGTGCTGCCCCAACAGCCACTGCCCACTCTGCTCCATAGCTGGGGTGACTCAGCCCAGATTCCATGCCTGGTCAGAAGTAGCTGAGAAGGGGGGGGGGGAGCCCACAGTGAGAGGGAAGACTCTTCTTTCACTTTCTCTACCACCTGGACAAACTGGAGACCCAGAGAGGGGAGGGAACCACTCTTCCCTCACTGAAGTGAGCTGAGTGGGCAGGGTCCCGGCCCGGCCCCTGGAACAGGGACAAGGGCATATCTGGGGTATGGAGAACTGGTTTTGATCTGGAGCTGGGAATGCAGAATGGAGGTAGGGGAGCAGTGGGAGCTCACCGAAAGGCAAACTCAGCGCTGGGCAGATTGGTGCTGTGCCTGCCAGGTGGGGTACAGAGGCCAAGGAAGCTTGAAGGCCTTCTCTGTGCCCCAAAACAGCCATGGCTCCCAAGCGCAAGCCCCCTGTGCAGCGTGAGGGTCCTGAGAAGAAGAAGAAGAAGGGACAGCAGGGGACAGAGGAGGACAGCTTCCATTCCACTGCCGAGGCCCTCAGGGCTGCACCCAAAGAGAAGCGCGTCGTCCGAGTGGACCCCTCGTGTCCACTCAGCCACAGCTCGGGTACTCAGGTAAGCTGTAGTCCCCTGCCAGGCCAAGAGCCTGCTCCCTCCTAGGTATAAGTACACTCCACTAGAGCTTGGCTCTGGCGACATAGCTCAAGGTTCCCAAGTAAGCTATGGCCTCCCAAGACCCCAAAGGTCGGGCAGGGCTACATCCATCAGATCTGGGCAGCTCATGTCTGCTCCTTGGACCACAGGGCAGTCCCCTAGGCGTCTCGGGCTTTCTTCTACCATACTTAAAGCTGGGCTCTGACTCTCTAACTTTCTCCAGGGCTCACCTATGTTCCCTTAAACCAGTCCCACAGGGTAGGGCTATGTCCCCCTACGATCCCTCATAGGACAGGGCTGTGTCCTTGTGAGACCTCGCAGGGCAGAACCATGTCTCCCTCAATTCCCCACCCAGAGCACAGCCATGTCCTCCCAGAACCTCCCCCACTACCCCAGTTTACATGTCCCCTCAGACTTCGTCCCCCAGGGTGGAACTCTGGCCCCCTCAAGCCTTCCCGGACAGGCCCTCCTCTGATGACCTAGAACAGTCAGACACTCAGGGTTCAGCTGGGCTCTGGCCCGACCGCCCAGGGCAGCTTACACCAGTCTGCCCTGCCCACGCCCCCTGCGGCCCAGGTGCATGGAGACTATGACTGCACCCTGAACCAGACCAACATCGGGAACAACAACAACAAGTTCTACATCATTCAGCTGCTGGAGGAGGGGGGGCGCTTCGCCTGCTGGAACCGCTGGGGCCGAGTGGTGAGTGCCCACCCTGTCCCCGCCTCCCCTCACCTCTCCCTGCTCAGACAGGCCTTCTGCTGCCAGGGTCCCCGCAGCAGAAAAGGCCACAGATGCTGACCACGTGGCACCACAGAGGCCAACAAGTGTTGTGGTGAGCTCTGCGGCGGGCACACCCCTGAAGGCTGTCGCTTGCAGGGAGAGATGGGCCAATCGAAGCTCAGCTACTTCTCATTACTGGAGGATGCAAAGAAGGACTTTGAGAAGAAATTTCGGGACAAGACCAAGAACAACTGGGCGGAGCGGGACCACTTTGTGGCCCACCCTGGCAAGTACACACTGATCGAAGTGCAAGGAGAGGACGAGGCCCAGGAAGCTGTCGTGATGGTGAAGGGGCCAGGGAGAGTGGGAGGGCCCTGGGCTGAGGGAGGGAGCCCAGAGACCCAGCGCCTGTGCACTGCCACTGCCCGCTGTGCGACCTCCTGGTCTGGCCAGTCTCTAGCCTGTGCTGGCCCTGCTCCAGTCAGCTGCCCTGCTCAGCCGCTCCTGCCCTCCGTGTACCCTCTGCCCCTAGGTGGACGGAGGCCCAGTGAAGACTGTGGCTCAGCGGGTGCGGCCCTGCTCCCTGGACGCAGCCACACAGAAGCTCATCACCAACATCTTCAGCAAGGACATGTTCAAGGATGCCATGGCCCTCATGAACCTGGGTGAGGGCAGTGGGGCCAGACAGGGTGGCAGGGGTCCAGGGGTGGCAGGGGGCTGAATCTCCCCACTCTCTCCAATTCCCTAGATGTGAAGAAGATGCCCCTGGGAAAGTTGAGCAAGCAGCAGATTGCACGGGGCTTTGAGGCCTTGGAGGCGCTGGAGGAGGCCCTGCGAGCCCCCACAGACGGTGGCCGCAGCCTGGAGGAGCTATCCTCCCACTTCTACACCGTCATCCCGCACAACTTTGGCCGCAGCCGGCCACCACCCATCAACTCCCTGGAGCTTCTGCAGGCCAAAAAGGACATGCTGCTGGTGAGGCTGGCAGGTGGGCCGGAGGGGGCCAAAGGCCGGAGGGGACCAGGCCAAAGGCTGGTCAAGGCAGATGGGGGACAGGAGGCCATGAGGGTAGAGAGGACTGTGATGGGCAGGCCAAAGGACAGAGAGATGGGATGGGAGTGACCAGGCAGGCCGAGGAGTGGGGTGGCCGTGGCCCCAGTCATGTGGGAGGCAGGGGCGGTGGGTGGACAAGTGGACAGGCAAGCTGCCGGTGCCCGTCACCTTAGGTGCTGGCGGACATCGAGCTGGCCCAGACCCTCCAGGCAGCCCCTGAGGAGGAGGAGGAGGTGCCAGAGGTGCCACACCCCCTGGACCGAGACTACCAGCTCCTCAAGTGCCAGCTCCAGCTGCTGGACCCAGAGGAGACCGAGTACAAGGTGGGCTGGGCCCCACAGAGGACCGGGGCTAACAGTGGGCACTGTCTCGCTGCCCGTCTGCCCGCCGGTGCCCAGAGGAGTCCCTCACCCTTGGCCTTGCTCCCTGTGTCTCTACTTGAGGAGAGCTCTGGCTAGGAGGACCGGTGGGGTTCCTCCATGTCTCAGTCTTGGGGCCAAGCTTCTGCTCTCCCTGCAGGTGGTCCATACTTACTTAACGCAGACTGGCAACAACTACAGGTGCCCTGCTCTTCAGCATGTTTGGAAAGTGAAGCGAGAAGGGGAGGTGAGCGAGAGTCCCCAAAGCCCTCCCCTGCCCCGCTGACTCAGGGAGATGGATGATCTTGGCTCATGCGTCCCCGGCTGAGTCTTCTTCCCAACCGTGTCCGGTTTCCGCTAGGCTTGGGGCTTGAGTGCACGCATGCAGGTGTGAGCGACCAGAGGGCCCCAGGCCTTGGCCAGACCCTCGGAACAGCAGGGAGAAGCACCTGAGCTGGGATGGCATGGCTCTCTCTTTCCCACCTCCCACCCTCAGGGAGACAGGTTTCAGGCCCACTACAAGCTGGGTAATCGGAAGCTCCTGTGGCATGGCACCAACGTGGCTGTGGTGGCCGCCATCCTCACCAGTGGGCTCCGCATCATGCCACATTCTGGCGGCCGCGTTGGCAAGGGCATCTACTTTGCCTCGGAGAACAGCAAGTCAGCTGGCTATGGTGAGGTGCCCCCTGGGCCCAGCTCTGGGTGGGCATGGGGACTGAGGAGGATGGGCCCAGAGTGTACCCAGTGTGTGCAGGCCCGGGAGAGGAACCCTGAATGAAGCATGCTGGGGTTCGGGGGAACTCAGGGAGAGCTTTCTAGAGAAGGCATGCGGATAGAGTGAGTGTGCCGACCAGACCTGGAGGCGGTGAGGGAGGGCTGTACCAGGTAAACAGCTCCGGGTGGCACAGGGACTGGTGCTGCGCAGGGCCTGACAGTGACGCTCAGAGCAAAGGCCTGTGTGGGCAGGGGCTTGGGGGCTGGCGGGATCCTGGGGACCTTATCCGAGAGCAGTGTGGAGCCAGTTTGGACTTGGATACAGCAGGACCTCAGTGGCTGTAGCCATGGGGAGGGTGGCAGAGGCCAGAGGCTGCAGGGAGGTGGTGCCCTCATCAGGCCAGATGTGATGGGCACCTAGGCCAGCACAGCAGAGGTGGGGGAGGAGAGAATCCGTGAGAGGGACATGTAGTAGGTAGTCGGCAGTATGTGGGAAAGGGCCCAGGGTGTCCTCATGACCCTCAAGTTTCTGTCCAGAGGTGTCTTCACTGATGGGACCTCACCAGACTGGCTCCTCAGTCCAGCCTGACCCCATCATTGGGGACAACCCCAACCCACCCATCCAAGACAGTAAGGTCAAGGGCAGGTGCAGCTGAAGTTCTAGGACCTCTGAGGTTGCCAAGGCCAATGGGTCTAGCAGGAGGGCAGCGGAGCCTAAGAAAGAGCGGAGGGCAGCCTCGGGAGAGCAGGGGTCCCCGGATACGGTTAAGGGTGCTAGTGGCAAAATCAGCGGAGCGGGCAGAGAGCAAAGCCTCTACCGCGGATTTGGTCCCTGGGAGGCTAAGGATGACCTTGGTGAGGGCGCAGGCGGTGCCAGGGCCTGGCCCCGGAGCCCGGAGTGGAGGAGAGCGATGGGAGGGAGCATGGCCAGAACCAGGGATGTCTCTAAGGAGGGAAGAGTCTCTAAGGAGGGAAGAGTGGGCACCTTTCTGTGTTGGGGCAGCAGTGAGAGGAGGCAGCGGTGCAGCAGAGGGACCCCGGCCGCCGGGCAGGAGCACCGGGCTTTCCAGCCTAAACTTCTGTGTCCCCCAGTTACTGGCATGTCCTGTGGGGCCCACCACATCGGCTACATGTTCCTGAGTGAAGTGGCACTGGGCAGAGAGCACCACATCACCAGTGATGATTCCAGCCTGAAGCAGCCACCTCCCGGCTTCGACAGCGTCATCGCCCGAGGCCACACAGAGCCTGGTGAGTCCCAGTCCTGAGAAGCTGCGCAGGCCTCTGGATAGAGGTGGTGCTGGGACAAGGGACCAGGGTGCTTTCAGGGAGGAGGCGAATGGACCCGGGGCAGAGGAGGGGCAAGAAGCCGGGTTCCTCCCTGCCCTCATTCATTTTGTCCTTCAGCAAGTCGCTCCTGGGCACCCAGGAGGGCTTCAAAGAGGAGTGTCACTGACAGCATGGGAAGAGGTGTTTCCCAGGCAGAGAAATGGGGGTGGAGGCCAGTCCAGGCAGAAGGCCCAGCCTGTGCAGTGATTTGGAAGTTGGCAAGGTGGGGATGTGCGGGCATTCCCTGTGGCAGAAGTGAAGAGCATAGGGGCGGAACTGACAGACCGGCGAGACCAAGGACCAGTGACCCTTGGGTGACCCCTGGCCTTGCTGTACACTGCAGATCCAACCCAGGACACAGAGCTGGAGCTGGACGGCCAGCGAGTGGCAGTGCCCCAGGGCCGGCCCGCGCCCTGCCCGGAGTTCAGGCATTCCTCCTTCTCCCAGAGCGAGTACCTCATCTACCAGGAGAGCCAGTGCTGCTTGCGCTACCTGCTGGAGGTGCGCCTCTGAGCGCCCCCGCCCCGGCCCTGCTGGAGGTGCGCCTCCGAGCGCCCCCGCCCCGGCCCTGCTGGAGGTGCGCCTCCGAGCGCCCCCGCCCCGGCCCTGCTGGAGGTGCGCCTCTGAGCGCCCCCGCCCCGCCCCGCCGCTACCTGCTGGAGGTGCGCCTCTGAGCGCCCCCGCCCCGCCCCGCCGCTACCTGCTGGAGGTGCGCCTCTGAGCGCCCCCGCCCCGGCCCTGCTGGAGGTGCGCCTCTGAGCGCCCCCGCCCCGGCCCTGCTGGAGGTGCGCCTCCGAGCGCCCCCGCCCCGGCCCTGCTGGAGGTGCGCCTCTGAGCGCCCCCGCCCCGGCCCTGCTGGAGGTGCGCCTCTGAGCGCCCCCGCCCCGCCCCGCCGCTACCTGCTGGAGGTGCGCCTCCGAGCGCCCCCGCCCCGGCCCTGCTGGAGGTGCGCCTCTGAGCGCTCCGCCCCGCCGCTACCTGCTGGAGGTGCGCCTCTGAGCGCCCCCGCCCCGCCGCTACCTGCTGGAGGTGCGCCTCCGAGCGCCCCCGCCCCGCCCCGCCGCTACCTGCTGGAGGTGCGCCTCTGAGCGCCCCCGCCCCGCCCCGCCGCTACCTGCTGGAGGTGCGCCTCTGAGCGCCCCCGCCCCGGCCCTGCTGGAGGTGCGCCTCTGAGCGCCCCCGCCCCGCCCCGCCCCGCCCCGCCCCGCCGCTACCTGCTGGAGGTGCGCCTCTGAGCGCCCCCGCCCCGCCCCGCCCCGCCGCTACCTGCTGGAGGTGCGCCTCCGAGCGCCCCCGCCCCGCCCCGCCGCTACCTGCTGGAGGTGCGCCTCTGAGCGCCCCCGCCCCGCCCCGCCGCTACCTGCTGGAGGTGCGCCTCCGAGCGCCCCCGCCCCGCCCCGCCGCTACCTGCTGGAGGTGCGCCTCCGAGCGCCCCCGCCCCGCCCCGCCGCTACCTGCTGGAGGTGCGCCTCCGAGCGCCCCCGCCCCGCCCCGCCGCTACCTGCTGGAGGTGCGCCTCCGAGCGCCCCCGCCCCGCCGCTACCTGCTGGAGGTGCGCCTCCGAGCGCCCCCGCCCCGGCCCTGCTGGAGATGCGCCTCTGAGCGCCCCCGCCCCGCCCCGCCCCGCCCCGCCGCTACCTGCCGGAGGTGCGCCTCCGAGCGCCCCCGCCCCGCCCCGCCCCGCCGCTACCTGCCGGAGGTGCGCCTCCGAGCGCCCCGCCCCGCCGCTACCTGCCGGGGGTGCGCCTCCGAGCGCCCCGCCCCGCCCCGGCCCTGCTGGGGACACGGGCAGTCTCCATCTTCTTGCCCATATCTAGTGCCCCCATATCACCCCTCGTGCTCGCAGATCTCCCTGCCGCGTCCCAGCCCGTGATCGCCGCTCGCCCCAGTCCTCGCTAGCCCTGGCATGGCTGTGGGCCCAGTCTCGCCTGCTAAGGTGATGGGAGCCAGGAGCTGGCGTCATTACTGGGCCACAGTGCAGCAGCCTAGTCGAGGTTGTGTAGTTAGAAGGGCACCGGCTATGAGTGGGCAGTCCACCCGGGCCCAGACTGTCCATGGAGAGGTGTGATCACTCATGTAGGCTGAACTTCACGCAAGTTTATTAAACATTCTATTCGCTCACCCCCAGGCTCTGCTTGTCTTTGCTGCAGCCACACAAGCCCGGGTCCCCTTTCTCTCCACAGGGACCAACCACAGCACACAGCAGCTCGGGCCCCACACTCACCCGGGTCCCTCCATGTCCATCACTGCATAACCTCACCTCCTCTGATCCTTGAGCCTCCAATGACGACCCTCACCACCAACTCAGCACTGTTGGGTCATTTGGGGACCCACCTGGAGATTCTGTGTGCTAGCCCAGACGTAGCCATGCAAACCAAGCATTGTTCCTGTCTCAGCATCGCTGTCTTACAGCTGCACGTTCTAAAGGAGCTGAGCATGTACCCCAGGGGCCCAGCTCTGCCATCGTGAATGGATGCCTGTTAGCACCCCAGTTGACCCAATCCAGACAGGAGGGTGTGGGTGCCAGAGAGCAGGTCAGGACCCAGCTGAAGGTCACATACAGCATCTAGTCATCATTTCTCCTTCGTTCCCTTTGATCTGAAACCATTTCTCAGCCTTTTTTATCTACCATGACTTTGATATTCTTGACACTCCTGAGGTTAGGACCAGTCGTTTTATAATATATCTTCCTTGAATTGTCTGATGCTTTGTCATGATTAGGTTCAGGTACTATGGTTTGAGTGGGAAAATAACCTACATGAATGATGTCTCCTCGGGGCAATCTGTCAGGAGGGACACGTCCCCTTGGTTGGTGACGTGAACTTTGATTGCTTAATTAAGGTAGTGGCTCCATACTAGGTCTCTTCACTGGAATGTTACCATTTCTCTCCTTTGTAATCAGTAATCTGTGGGCAAATGTTTTGAGGTGTAAACGTTCCATTCCTCATCCTCTGTCACCCACCAACCCAAAAATCCACTGGTTTTTACTTAAATCAGTAACTTGAACCCATTTTCACAAAGATGGTTGCAAATGAAGTTTTCAAATTCCTTTCTTTCTTTTTTTATTTTTTTTTCTCTTTATTGATTTTAGAGAGGAAGAGAGAGACAGAAACATCAATAAGAGAGAACATCAATTGGCCGCCCCCTCATGCCCCCTATTGGGGATGGGGCCCACAACTTGGGCATGTGCCCCCGCTCATGGTGCATGGGTCAACGCTCAACCACTGAGCCACACTGGCCAGGCCAATATTTAATTAATATTCCCATTTCTTTATTATCAGTATGGACCTGTGGGTTCTTGTTGTAGGCCATGGGTTAAAATCGTTGCTGTCATCTTTATTTGGAGCCTCAGGTCATCCCAGATTTGGCACACAGAGTCTTTCAAGCTGACTTCCATGCCTCCCTTATTGCTGAGCATTTCCTCCCTTCCTGGCATCATAAGATGTTCCAGGCTCATCCTGCACAATCCTGGAACCAGCCATTTCTCCAGGGAGCCCTAGTTCCCTAGAGTAGGAAATGGTATTTAGAGTCCATGATCTGGGGAGTAGGTATGCTTTTCGGTACTGGGTGTCATAGTTTTTTGTTTTGTTTTTTATCCTCACCCGAGGATATTTTTCCATTTTTTGTACAGATAGAGTGGGAGGGAGAGAGAGGAAGGGAGAGAGAGAGAGAAACATCGATGTGAAGGGACACATCAAGTGGCTGCCACCCGCATGACCAACCAGGACCGGGGACAAACTGCAACCGAAGTACGTGCCCTTAGCGGGAACCGAACCCGGGTCTCTCTAGACCGCAGGCCGACGCTCTAACCGCTGAGGCAAACTGGCCAGGGCTCATAGTTGTTTTTTTTAATGCTGGGAAGTCTAGCCCTGGCCCGAGGACCAGAGAGTCCCGGGTTCGGTTCCCGCTAAGGGCACGTACCTTGGTTGCAGTTTGTCCCCAACCCCAGTTGGGGTTGTGTGGGTGGCAGCCACTTGATGTGTCTCTCTCACATTGATGTTCCTCTCTCTCTCTTCCCCCTCTCACTCTCCCAATCTATCTGAAGATAAATGCAAAAAATGTCCTTGGGTAAGGATAAAAATAAAAAAAATTAAATGCTGGGAAGTATATATATGTAAACAAACAAGCACATCTACCTCTAGCTCTTCCTCCAGCTCTCACCCAACACCACAGGCTTCTTTCATTCGTCCCCAGGTCCATATCTATACTTCCCTTCCCGAAGAGTAAGAGTCTTGGTTTCCATCAACATCATTGCATTTACTTGTTCACTCAATCCCACACAAAAAGGAGATTCAGAATCGTTATACCCAGGCCACTGTGAAGAGTAAACTTTCTAAGCCGAGCTCAAGATTTACTGAATCTTCTTCAAGAGGATCATTTTGTCTTTAGACTGAGGTCAATGAGTTTAAAACAGTTGAAATGTTACTTGGATTAGTTAGTTATTTCCCTCCAGTGGGGTTGTTATTCACTTGAAATACAGGTAGGTTCATTTCTTTCTGTTTAATTCACCTCTCGGAGGTTTTCCTCATCTTCATTGATTTGTTTTTAAATACACAGAACATTTACATAGTTTCAAAAAGTCCAATCTATACAAAAATAGTGCTCAGGCCCTGGCCAGTTTGGCTCAGCGGTTAGAGCGTCGGCCTGCGGTCCGGAGAGACCCGGGTTCGGTTCCCGCTAAGGGCACGTACTTCGGTTGCAGTTTGTCCCCGGCCCTGGTTGGTCGTGCGGGTGGCAACCACTTGATGTGTCCCTTCACGTCGATGTTTCTCTCTCTCTCTCCTTCCTCTCTCTCCCTCCCACTCTATCTGTACAAAAAATGGAAAAATATCCTCGGGTGAGGATAAAAAAAAAAAAAAGATAGTGCTCAGAAGAGTGTTCATCCCCAACCCCTTCACTCCATCCCACCCATCTGCTGTAGGAAGCCAGTTTCTGGTTTATACTTCATCTGGTGCTTTTTGGTAAATTAAGAAAAAAAAAAAAAACAGTTACACTACAAAGCTTATTAATTTAGTTGAATGACGTTAGAGGAACATACACTCTCCAAAGCACTCTAGTCCCCTTCCCTCCCTACCGCCTTCCCCAATCCATTTTCTTTTTTTTTTTCTTTTCTTCTTAAACTTATCTTTATTGTTGAATGTATTACAGATGTCCACTTTTTCTCCCATTGACCCCCTCCTCCCCGTTCCTTCTCCCTCCTGCCTTCCCCACACTATTGTCTGTGTCCATTGGTTATGCATATATGCATAAAAGTTCTTTGGTTTATCTCTTCTGCCCTCCCTCCCCCATTCCCTTTGGGTTTCATCTAAAAGCCAATTTGTACTTCTTAATTCCTTCATCTTCACCCATCCGCCAGCCCCTTCCCATGTGGCAACCAACAAAAAGTTCTCTGTATCTATAAATCTGTTTCTGTTTTGCTTGCTCATTTTGTTTGTAGATTCTATCGTTGATAGATAAGTATTTATTGCCATTTTATTGTTCATACTTTTGTTCTTCTTCTTCGAGAAGACTCGTGAACATTTCATTTAACACTGGTTTGGTGGTGATGAACTCCTCTAGCTTTTTCTTGTCTGGGAAACTCTTTATATATCCATGGATTCTAAATGATAGCTTGCAGGATAGAGTGATCTTGGTTGTAGGTTGTTGCTTTTCATCACTTTCAATATCTCTTGCCACTCCTTTCTGGCCTACAAAGTTTCTTTTGAGACATTAACTGACAGTCTTATGGGAGCTCCCTTGGAGGTAACTAACTGCTTTTCTCTTGCTGCTTTTAAGATTCTGATTGTCTTTAACCTTTGGCATGTTGATGATGATGTATCTTGGTGTGGGCCTCTTGGGGTTCATCTTGTTTGGGGCTCTCTGTGCTTCCAGGACTTATATGTCTGTTTCCTTCACCAAGTTAGGGAAATTTTTGGTCATTATTTTTTCAAATAGGTTTTCAATTTCTTGCTCTCTCTCTTCTCCTTCTGGCACCTCCACAATGTGAATGTTGGTATGTTTGAAGTTGTCCCAGAGGCTCACTAACCTCATTTCTTTTTTTCTATTCTTTGTTCTGATTAGATGTCTTTTGCTTCCTTGTATTCCAAAACGATGGTTTGCTTTTCCCTCTAAATTATTCTTTATTTCAGTTAGTGCATCCTTCATTTCTGACTGGTCCTTATTTTCTCCTCTTGAGGTTCTCACTAAGTCCCTTGACATTCTCAGTAAGTTCCTGAGCATCCTTATAGCTAGTGTTTTGAACTCTGCATCTGTTAGATTGCTTATCTCCCATTTCATTTAGTTCTTTTCCTGGAGATTTGTTCTGTTGTTTCATTTGGGACATGTTTCTTTGTCTCCCCATTTTGGCTGCCTCCCTGTGTTTGTTTCTATGTATTAGGTAGAGTTGCTATGTCTCCTAGGCTTCCTAGGGTGGCCTATTGTAGTAGGTGTCCTGCAGGGTCCAGTGGCACAGCCTCCCTGGTCACCTCAGCTGGCCTTCGTGGTGCACCCCTTGTGTGGGCTATCCACCCTTCTGTTGTAATTGAGTCTTGATTGCTGTTGGCATGTCTGGGAGGGATTCACTCAGGCTGATCAGCTGCATGGACTGCCTGTGCCCACTGACCTCTGACTCCCTTGGAGGATCAGCTGTAAAAGGCCCACCACATAGAGCAAGACTTACTTCAGCAGGGCTCTCATAACCAGTGAGTCCTTGAGTGTGTCACTTGTGGAGGTGGTTGGGTGGTGGTGCTCTGACATGGTCTGAAGTTGTCGCTGGTGTGCTGGCTCAGGGGCAAGGACTGCCACTGCCTGTGTTCTATCCGGGGCCACTGGGCGTAAGATACAAAGCAATCTACTGATGGCTGCTTCTTGTGCTGGTCTTGGAGGTTCCCAGGCAACGCCAAGCTGTGAACCAAGGCTGGCTGCTTCTAGTTCTGGGGCCAGTCAGCTAGAAGTATGGGGCTCGCTGAGGCCAGGTGCTGTTTGTTAAAATAATTTAGGAAAATCTGAAGCAGGACCCAAGACAGTCCATCCTATGGTAAAGCCACCAGAAACAGCTTGGGTGGGCCTGAAAGTTGAGTGGGGCAGGGCCTTAGGAATCACCAGGGTGGGGCAAACAGTGTGAGCCAGGTTGCTGTATCCCAGATACTGAGCAAATCTGATTGCCCTGTGGGGGAAGGGCTCACCAAAGGCACAATGGCTTCTACCAGCATGTCTGTGCGGGAGAAAGCTGCCTCTCCAGCCCTCTCCCCTATGCCAAACAATTCAGTTCTTGTTGGTATGTCTCTGGTGCCTTTCAAGCTACCTACCCCATGCTGGAGCCTGGGGGGAGCGGGTCTGAGTAAGTCCATGCTCTGGCCCTTTAAGAGGAACTGCCTGGGACTCCAAAAGCCTCAGCCTCCCTCAGCCTCAGTTCCTGCTGGTCTTTATAGCCAGAAGTTATGAGGCCTTCTTTTCCTGGTACTGGAACTCTGAGTTGGGGGGCCTGGTGTGGGATGGGGACCCCTTGCTCCTCAGGGAGGACCTTAAGTTGGGTATCCCTCTTGATTTTTTTTTATCACACATGGGTGTGGGACCAGCCTAGCCACACCTCCACCCCCCACCCCACCCCAGTCTCCATGTGGCTTCTTCTTTAATTTTGTAATTACAGGACTTCCATTCAGCTCGATTTCACATGGTATGAATGACCTTGTTCTGTAGTTTAGTTGTAATATTGATGTGTTGTGGGAGGAGGCGATACCGCGTTTACCTACACCCAGTCCATTTTCTCACTTGCTATTCCTGCCAGGCCTTGCTGAGCCCTCCCAGGCCCTAGTGGCTCAGGGGCTGCCCCAGGCCGGCAGGCTTAACCGAGCAGGGAGAAGGCCAATGCCTTCTCTTCCTCCTAATTAAAAGCCTCAAAAATCCAGCTTCACCTCCTAGATGTGAATGCCCACATTCAAGCTGTGAACAGAATCTAGGAAGCAGGTAACCTGGGTTCCGGGTACAAGTCAGCTGCGTGATCTGGGACACATTCCTTCCCTGTCTGGGCACCAGCTTTCTCATCTGAATAATGGAGAATTGGGCTGGCACCCTTTATTTTTTTTATTTATTTATTTTTTTTATCCTCACCCGAGGACATTTTTCCACTTTTTGTTCAGATAGAGCGGGAGAAAGAGAGAGGAAGAGAGAGAGAGAGAGAAACATCGATGTGAAGGGACACATCGAGTGGCTGCCACCCACACGACCAACCAGGGCCGGGGACTAACTGCAACCGAAGTACGTGCCCTTAGCGGAAACCAAACCCGGGTCTCTCTGTACCGCAGGCCGACGCTCCACCCGCTGAGCCAAACCGGCCAAGGTGGGATGGCACCCTTTAAACCGCAGCAGAAAGTGAGTCAAACCTAGAGGTCCGTGCCCTAATCCCTACCACCTAGAACTGTACTGATACTGACCATGTGCCTGTGATGAGTTTTGGGGGCACGAGCGTGAGCAAGACAGACAAGGTCCCTGTTCTCGCGGGGTTTGCATTCTAGTAAAACAGGCTCTAAACAAGCACGTGCACAGGTATGAAATACAGTGTCAGGTAGGAAAAGTGCCAGGAAGAAAAATAAAGCAGGCAAAAGGATCTGCGATGGGAAGGTGGAATGATCTCAGAAGAGTTCGATGGTCAATGAAGGCCGCTCTCAAGCAGAGGCCTGAAGGAGGTGAGGGGACAAGCCATGGACAGATCTGAGGAAAGGACGTTCTGATGGAGGAAACAGCAATGTGAAGATCCTGAGGTGGAAACCAGTTCCACACGTGGGAGGACCAGCAAGGTGACTGCTACCGCGGGGCGCAGGGAGCTAAGAAGGAGGGTGCAGTCAGAGAGATGGGGAGAGTCTATGCCGATGTTGGAAGCTCTTAGAGGGCTGAGAGCAGGGTCATGGCCTGATCTGATTTTTTAGAAGGATCCGCTTCCTCCGCTGCGCAGAGTGGACTGTAGGGTGGGTGTGCATCAGTCAAGATCCAGCCAGCAAATCAGAAACCACTCTAGGTATGCCAGACAAGAGGAATTTGATACAGGAAGGAACGGAACCACAAAGGGGGATGGTGAGGCAACCCAAAGATTAGCAACAGCAGGAGTTGCTACCACTCTTAGGTTGGAGCGATAATGGAAGGAAATGGTATCCCAGTGGCCCAGGGCAGGGTCACCCTCCCGCAGCCAGAACCACAGAAAGGGCTCCTGAGAGAGAGACGTGGAAAGCTCCAGGCTGAGGCGAGCGGGGAAAGAGCCTGGCTTCCCCAGCTTCCACCCCCTTCTGTCCTTCTCCAGACTCCAGCTTGTGCCTGCTCTGGGCTCCCTCCAGAGGCACCCCTAGCACTTCCCCAGTGCAGCCTCCAGCCTCCAGCCTCCACCAGCTGGCAGCTGCTAGGACCCAGGGGGCTGGCGCCAGGCCCTGCCCCTCCCTTGCCAACTCTGTGTCTGTAAAGGGCAACATCAGAGTGACAGCCAGTCCCATCTCCAGCAGAGGCTGAGCTGCTGGGGCAGAGGAGAGAGCCACAGTCCCAGCCTTGCACCCCTCCATGGGGCAGGCCAAGCCTCCAAGAGGATGGGGGCCTGGACAGTAGGGCCAGAGCCTGGGCAACCTATGAGGTGAGGGGCCGGAGGAACCACGGATGGGTGATGGGAATGGGGGAGGGGGAGAGGGCATTCCATTTCACTTTCTGCCTCCCAGCACAGGCTGAAGTCTGAACGCTCCATGGCCAACGCCACAAGGTTCATGGCCACGGAAGTCACTGGCTCCATGGGGTTGATCCTGGCGGCGGTCCTGGAGGCGGCAGCCCTGCTGGGCAACGGCGCCCTGATGGTGGTGGTGCTGCGCACACCTGGACTACGCGAGACGCTGTACCTGATGCACCTGTGCATCGTGGACCTGCTGGCGGCCGCCTCCATCATGCCGCTGGGCCTGGTGGCCGCGCCGCCGCCCGGGCTGGGCCACGTGCGCCTGGGCCCGGGTCCCTGCCGCGCCACGCGCTTCTTCTCGGCCGCGCTGGTGCCCGCCTGCACGCTCGGCGTGGCCGCGCTGGGGCTGGCGCGCTGCCGCTTCATCGTGCACCCGCTGCGGCCCGGCGCGCGCCCTGCGCCCGCCCTGGTGCTCACGGCCGTGTGGGCCGCGGCGGCGCTGCTGGGCGCGCTCGCCCTGCTCGGGCCGCCGCCCGCGCCGCCGCCCGCGCCAGCCCGCTGCTCCGTGCTGACCGGGGGCCTGGGGCCCTTCCGGCCGCTCTGGGCGCTGCTGGCGTTCGCGCTGCCCGCCTTCCTGCTGCTGGGCGCGCACGGCAGCATCTTCCTGGTGGCGCGGCGCGCTGCCCTGCGGCCCCCGCTGCCCCCGCCGCCCCCGCGCGGCGCCCGGCTGCGCTCCGACTCCCTGGAGAGCCGCCTCTCCATGCTGCCCGCCCTCCGGCCTCGACTTCCCGGGGGCAAAGCGGCCCTGGCCCCCGCGCTCGCCCTGGGCCAGTTCGCAGCCTGCTGGCTGCCCTACGGCTGTGCGTGCCTGGCCCCCGCCGCGCAGGCCGCGAAGGCCGAGGTGGCCGTCACCTGGGTCGCCTACTCCGCCTTCGCGGCGCACCCCTTCCTGTACGGTCTGCTGCAGCGCCCCGTGCGCCGGGCGCTGGGCCGCCTTGTTCGCCAAGCGCGGCTCAGGTGCCCGCGGGCCCGCACGCTGCGGGCCTGGCACCCGAGGTCGCTCCTGCGGCACCTCCAGGGACCCCCAGAGGGCCCTGCCCTAAGACCTTCTGAGGCACCAGAACAAGACCCCAATTTGGCAGGAGGGGAGAGCCTCGGCATGCCGAAGACTACCTGAGAGAGGACCTGTCTCATACACTGGACTGGGACTGGAGAAAGGGAGGTGGTACCAAGAGGACCAGCCAGTCTCCTGCACAGGTGGTAGCAGGTGCCTGGCCTAGGCTTCTGGCTCTGGAACGGGAGAAAGGGGGCCTGACACCTGGTAAGGCCCAGAGGCTTCTGGGAGTAGGCATCCCTGCATGGCCTTGTGCACAGACCTACCCTTCCCTAACCTTCATTTTTCCCATCTGGACTCCGGACCGTCTCTAAGAACTTCTCCAGCTTAGGTGGATGGCCCCCAGGCCAGGAAGAAGCAGAGGTGGGCAGAATCCCAAAGAGGACCCTCAGGGCTCACAGCCAAAGGGATGGGCCACGCAGGGCAGGGTGGGTTGCAGCCACGCAGGAGGAACCCACGGAAAGACTCAGACTTCCCTGACATCTGCACTGGAGAGAGGCCGGACCAAACTACTGGGTCTCCTCCATCAGCTTCGAAACTGCCCAGAAGCAACTGGATCAGTTGGGTGCTAGAGGCAGGAGGCTGGACATGCCCTCCAGGAGGTCCTGAAGCCCCACACTAGGGCTGGTGGATTCACAGGTGGGGGTCCTCTGGGGCCAGCTGCACCCATTTTCTTGAAGTTTTGCCAACACCCACAGTGTTTCACAGCTTCCTGGTCTCAGAATATTTATTCAAAAACAGGAATTGAAAAAACTGTACAGTGTCTGCTGCTGAGAATTCAGCCCTGCCCCCATGTGACTCGCCCAGCTGCCTGGCAGTGCCCCCTCTTGGGGTTGCCCTCTGCCAAGCCCAGCCAGTCCATTCCAGTCAAAAGGGTTATCAGTGGAAGCAGCAGGAATCTGCGAGGAGGTGGGGAGAGAAGCATGGCTCCCAGCCACCCCCAGCCCTCCTCCCTGATCCCCACAAAGGGGCAGTAGGCTGGGAAGCCCTAAGGGATGGGGAGTGCATGAGTGATCCCCAAAGTGGGGGCACTAAGGATGCTCCCTGCATCCAAGCACAGAGCTAGAGGGGGTGGAGCCCCCCGCCTGGGGCTACCACAGCTCCCAGAACCCTGGGCCAGAGACTGCACCCACTCAGCACAGGGACTTCCACAGACCGGGCCAGGCAGGGGTGCATCCATGCTTCTGAGCATTAGTGGTGTTTGGGAGCCCAGGCTGGAGTCTCCCTGGGCAGGTAGAATGCAGGGGCAGCCCCTGCCGGCGGTCCTGCCTGCGCCTGCGCCTGTGCCTCAGCCGGCCTCAGTAGGGCGAGAATTTCTGCCGCTCAGCTTTCTTGCTCCCATTGGCCGCTGCCATCTTGGCAGTGTAGGCCGCCAAGCCCGGCGGCGGCCCTGGGGAGGCAGGTGGTAGAGCCAAGAAGGGCACAGGCTTGAGGCCGATGAAGTTGGACAGGGAGATGGCGTAGGGCGTGCCCAGCAGGCCTGGGGGAGCCGTGGGCAGGGCCGTCAGGGGCGGCGAGAAGGGGGTAGACAGGTCTGCGGGGGCTGAGCTGGGCGTCCCCCCAGAGGTAGACTTGGCCGTTTCTAGACTGGAGAGAGGGATATGGGGGGAGATGAAGGAGACGGTGGGGTAAGAGGGTACAATGAAGGCAAAATCAGGAGTGAGATTAGATGAACAACAGAAGAGAATGGAGAACAGCGACGCAGGTGGACACGTTTGGGGAGGAGATGGGAAAGGTGGAAGGACCGGGATGAAAGAACGGACAGCAGATACTGTACAGGTTGGGGGAGAAATGGGGAGGCCGAACGCCCAGGGCACAGAGCCAGAGGACAGAGCCAGAGCACACAGGGGTGGATGTACGGGGAAGATGGGCATCATGGAGGGAGTGAGGCAGAGGAGGGACCCAGACAGAGAGGTCATCTTTCCCCACCCCACCTGTGCCCTTCTCAGGCAGGTAAGCCCCCACCCCAGCCCCCACTCACCAGGCAGTGATGAGGTACTGAGCCAGAGCAATGGAGACCGGCGAGCCAGTGATGGTCACGTGCCGCTCACCCGCACCCTCCGCTTGGTTCCCGATCTTGATATGTGCCCCTGACATCTGCCGGATCTCACTGATCTTGCTGCCCTGGCGCCCGATCACGCAGCCAATCAGCTGGGGGGAGGGCGGAATTCAACCCTAGGCAAGGCCCAGACCCCTGGGTCCCCTCCCCACCCTCAAACCATCCCATCCCCTGCTCACATCATTGGGGACCAAGAACTCCTGGGAGCTGGTCTGTGCGCCAGGATCCAGTCCTAGGGAGAAGAGGGGTTAGGTGTGGTTCCGGGCCTTTCCTGCCTCCCCACACCCACCCCAGGGGGCTGCCTGGCCCCTTGGGATCTGCCCCTGCCTCCTGCAGGGGCTGCTCACCTGGCACCATGCCCGGTGAGGCAAAGGGGACTGCGTGGCCCGAGAGCTGCTGGAGCTTGGTGACCTGTGCCAAAGAAGAGGGGCCAGAAATCAGAGGACGCTGGGTTCAGGAGGGGTGCCTGGGCTGTGGCCACTCACCTCAGCTGGGGTCACAGCCCCATACTGACTCTGGACGGAGAAGCCCTGTGGGGACAAAGTGGGTGAAAGAGCGTTACTGTGACAGGTCCGGACAGTCTGGCCAGAGTCACTCCTCCCTGCCTCTCCCTGGACCCCCAATTCCTCCTTCCATCCCCTCCACCATTTCAATCCCCTCTTCCAATAATGCTTCCACCCTCTGCTGCCCCTCACCTGGTTAGCGGAGAGAAGGACGGTACCTAAGGAAAGGCTTGGGTGGTACGGGATAGTGGCTCCTTTGGGTGGGGACTGGAAGGCACAAATGGGGCAGTCCTATCAGGACCCTCTGGGCCACCCTGACCTCACAAGGCTCCTCCCCATGGCCCCAGGGAGATGCATCCCTGCTGCCCGCCCTGCCCCCACCTGGTGTCACATGCATAGAGTTCAGGACTGACAAGACAGGCCCGGGGCCCAGCCCTGCCCCCTCCCCTGCCCCCGAACAGAACCTCCAGGATAACAGCACAGATCTGGCGCACACACAGGATGATGGCATCAGGCACCCCAGACACTGTAACAGCACGCTCTGTGGAGTTGGGGAGCAGGTCCCCTGCCACCTGCACCTGGGCACCTGTAGTCTGCAAGCAGAGAACAGGGGCCACTTCTGTTTGCTCCCATAGCCCAGAGCAGGGCTGCTCGGGCTCAGAGCTCCCCAGGGGATGGGAAGCCATAAGCCTCGGTCCTCTCTGGCGATTGGAGGGTGGGACTTCCTGGGGGGGGGCGTATCCCCTTCTGCTCACCTCTCGGATCTCCTTGATCTTAGTGCCAGCCTTCCCAATCAGCGAGCCACACTGGCTGGCAGGGATGACAAGGCGCAGGGTCACTGGAGGCCTGGAGACAGTCCCACCATTTGCAGGAGCAGAGCAGAGGTCCTGGGCAAGAAGACTGTGGGTTGACCCTGCACCCCTGCTGCTCCCCCACCCTGGAAGGAAGCCCTCCCCCAGTCCCACTCGAATTCGAGAACCCTGCCTGCGCTCCAGTAGCAAGAGCCCTGCTCCTCCCAGGGAACCAGCCCCGGCCCCACCCCCGCCTTCACACACCTCATCGAGCTTGAAGGCGATCATGGAGACTGCGTGGAAGACAGCCGCCGTAGACCCGGTGATGGTGGTGATGCGCTCGGGGCAGGAGCCCTCGGAGATGGTGATCCGGGCGCTGCTCTGCGGGTACAGGACAAGCGCCGGGCAGCGGGGCTCCTTCTTCACTTTCTCGCCAGCAGCCCATCTGGTCTGCCCCACTCACAGGCCCCAGCAAAGCTGGACACCGCCACCCTCCGGGAGCACTCGCTGGGTCTCGCTTCCCTTCCAAACCAGGTGGCCGGGGCTCCTCCCCACACGCCATCCTCACCTGCTCCCGGATCCGTTTCACGGTCTCTCCTTTCTGCAGAAGGAAAAATAGAGGAAGCCTCTTAGCCTGAGCGGTTGGTGCCTCCTCTCCTGGATGGAGGCCTCAGGTTGAAGGGGGCACAAAACAGAACCCAGCACCTACCTTCCCGATGATGCTGCCCACCTCCTGCAAACAAGAGCAGAGTCAGGGTCAGCAATACCCAGGCCCTGCCCCTCCTTCCTACCTGCACTGCCCCATGAGACAGGACACTCCCGCTGACCAGGCCTCGCCTCGCCTCGCCTCGCCCTCCGCCCCTCCCGGGTCCCAGCAGAGACCCCCTCACCTTTCCATGCATCAGCATCCTCAGCGTGAGGGTGATGCTGAGCTCTGGCTCCTCCTCCAGCCCCGCATCTGAGCTGCTCATCCTGCCAGGCGGGGCTGGGGCCACAGCGGCCTGGGGGTGTGTCCACGCTGCGGCCTGGCTGGCTCTGCCAAGGGTGGCAGAAGAGGGTTAAGCAGGAGCCCAGCTCTCTTTCGGCTCCCCCGCCCTTCCACAGGGACCCCGGAGCTGGGCTAGACAAGCTCCCAGAGAAGGGAGATGATGTGGACCCTGAGTTGTTTTTTTTTATCCTCACCCGAGGACACCTTTCTGCATTTTTATCTTCAGATGGAGGGGGAGGGAGAGGGAGGAAGAGAGAGAGAGAAACATCCACATGAGAGAGACATATCGAGTGGCCGCCACCCACACGACCCCAGCCGAGCCAGGGACAAACTGCAACTGAGGCACGTGCCCCCAGCAGGAACTCAACCCAGGCCTCTCTGGTCCATGGGCCGACGCTCCAACCATTGAGCCAAACCAGCCAGGGCTGGAACCTGAGTTTCAATGTCCCACTGCCTGTAGGCAACTCACTAGCTGTGCAACCCTGGACAGCTCATTTAACCCACCTGAGCCTCGGAGGCCTCTGGAAGAAGGGGAAACCAAGTCCTACCCCCAGAGTTATGAGAATTAAAATGAGCTAAGCACATAAGGGGTAGGCACCCAGTCCCCATGAGGATTCTTCCCTTCCCCTTGACCATCAGAAGAAAGAATGAACTAGGAAGCCTCTAGAAGTCCAGAGAAAGGGAGCCTCCTCCTTGGCCTCTGGGAAGAGGGGACCCCTGTGGTTTGGGCCTGGAACAGCCATGGAGGGTTAGGAAGAACAGCGGAAGTGGAGATAGCAAGGCTCTGGGAGGGGCCCTCTTGCCCCTGCCTTCTCTCTGCCTCGAAAGGCTTGGGGGAGCAGGCTGGGAACCCCATCTCCAGAGTCTGATTCTGTGCACCAGTTTGCTGGAGCGGAGGCACCTTGCAGACAGCTCTGAGCAGGGTTCATTCACTGAGTGCAAGGAACAGCGGCCTGCCCCGTGGTTACCCATGCCCTCTCCATGTGCTAAGGAGGTAACCGTCCGGGCTGGCCACATGCCCAGCCTGGAGCACTTTCTACTGGGCCAGAAACAAGCCACTTGGGCGCTCAGTCTCATCAATTTCCTCACCCATAAAATGGAAGGAATGCTTTCCCCTGGGACTGGGTGATGGGTAAGAAAGAGTTTTGGGGGGCTGGGGAATGTCAAGTCTGGTAACTGATGGAGAAAGGAGGAGCCAGAGATTAGCTGCTGGGATTAGCCTGGTCGCCAGCCCTCCCCACCCGACCCCTTTTCAAGTCCTGATTTAATCCTGAACCTTAATCCTGCCTGGAAATCCCTCTCCTCCAGCGGCTGTCTCCCGACAAAGCTCAGCCTTGATGGGGAGCTCACTGGGGGACCAGAACCCAAGGAGGGTCACAGGAAGTGGGACCAACTGGTGCCAAGACTGAGCCAAGACCAGCCCCTAACCCTGCAAATCCCTCCTGCCTGGGAGAACAAGGGGCGAAGGAGGAGGGCCCGACCCGGAGCACTCCGGACCACCTCTGGGCAACTCCCCCCAGCCCCTGCCCTGTCCTGACACGAGGCAAGGGCATGGGGCTCTGTCCAATACCTTCTTCGGAACCCTCCGGCCAGCCAGAGCTGGGCCATGGAGCAGGAAGGGGGCTCCCAGCCTGAGCAGGCCCCTGCATGGCATCAGGCCGGTTTCTTCATTTGTACAATGGGGTGACAACCCTGTCCCCCCAAGCACCTCGTAACTCTCGCCTCCCCAGAACCTGCTCCTCCTCCATTCCAATTTTGCCCGTAGGCTCTCCAGAGGTCAGAGGTCAACTGTGGACACAGGGACTGTGCTCTGTGGACATCCTGGCCGGCCTCGTGCTGGCTGCCCTTGCTAACGTTCCCCAGCTGCCCGCACTCCCCCGCAAAGCACCTGTGATGACGCTTTCTGCCTCGCTGGCCAGCCAAGCCCGGAGCTCCTCGGAGCGAGGACCAAGGCTGATGCCTCTTGTGTCCCCAGAGCTCGGGCCAGAGGCAGGCTGGGGAAGGTGTCTGGGACATACTGGTGAGCTGGACAGACGAATTCACCCAACAGAAAGGGAACCTGATGCCTACAGAGGGTCTGTAACCGGCCCAAGGTCATAGAGAGCTAGGGCATGGTGGACTAGGAAGGTCCTGCCTGCTAGCGCGGGGCTCTGTCACTGGTCCCATCTGAGTCTCAGTCCTCTTCCTAAAGGGGGGGCTCTTCAAAGGTGGGGAGCAGGCTTTAGTAATCTGAGACCCCTGCCTGGCTAGCAGACGTGGGTCGTGTTTAGAAAGGACTGACAACTTGTCTAGAGCCATAGTCTTAAGCTTCAGAATTTTCTGGGTCTCAGGAACCTCTCTGGGGTGGTAACCAGTGGGAGACCCGTCGTCCTCACACCATTTCCACACCATCTCTTAGGGGCCTAAGTTCCAGGGAAAACGGGAGGTCAGAAGGGCTGGACTGCAGCCAGAACTGGGGCTCCTGCCCTGAAAAAGATAAGGTCTGCAATAGAGCCCCGTTGCCCCAAATTCAGTGGGTGACCTTGGCCAGGCCTCACCAGACCTGGATCTGTTTACCTACGGTGCTGTGTGTGTGCATGTGTGTGTGTGTGTGTTTGCACGCAGACGAGGGGTGGGGGTTGTTGCTGGTCTCCCTGTGTCCTTTCTGTTCTGAGGGACCCCCGAGGTCTTTCCTGTCTTTAGGAGAGAACAAGGGGTCCTGACACAGGCCACCCAAATTACTCTCCTAGGAGCCCTAAGAACAAACAGCCCTATTAGGCCCACTGGCTCCCCTCTGCCCTCACTGGGCTCTAGGGAGTTATTTGCTGCTCCAGCCTGGTGGGCCCTGGGTCCCTGCTGGGCCACCCACATGGTAGTCACACCTCATGCCACACTGACCTCCAGCTCACCTCTGGGGGCACCCAGCCCCCTCTAGTCAGCAGGGCTCCCTGGCAGAACATAGCCAGCTCAGACCAGGCCTCTGACCTCCGGTGTTCCCTCCTGCCCCCCAGACCCCTCCCCAGACCCAGTGCCCACTCCTGTCCCTGGCTTCCTGCCACTCAGGCTGGAGGGGGTGGAGGGGGGAGGTGACAGCTGTGTAAGCGATGGTGGCTGCCCCTTCCTGCCCCTCCCCCCCAGCTGTCTCTCTCTCATGACAGCTGCCCAATCAAAGGGCTGGGGGCTTAGCCAGCTCCCCCCACATGCAGGGATCAAGTGTCCACCCTGGCTTTGTTCTGGAGCGAGAACAATCCGGGGGAGGGGAGGGCTCCTGGGGCCAGGCGACTCAAGCAGACTGGCCCGCCCCTTGGGGGATTCCCTGGGCTCGGCTGGCTAGAGCGTCTGGACCAACCAGGGCTTATAGACCCACCTGGGCTGGGGAAAGAGAGGTCCAGTCTCCAAGTTCATCCCCCACCACACATCCCCCACCATCCCCTCAGCACCTTCAACCCCTAACCTAGCAACCTCCTATACCTACTCCCAAAGCAGCCATGCTGGCCACACCCAGTGATGCTGGGGAACGCTTGGGGAGCAGGCTGAGCAGGGCGTGGCAGGGGGCTGGACTGGGCCTGGGGCACTGAGGGGTTCTGACTCCCCTGCCCTTGGCCTTCTCGTGCCCACCATTCCTGCTTAGCCAGGCCTCCGCAAGAACTGCCCCAGCATCCTCAGACTCATGTGCCCAGCCTCGTAGCCTTACAGCCGCCCAGGATGGCCACTCATACCCACATCTTGGGAGAGCCGGGGCAGGAGGGGCCTGCAGGGGAGCAGCCTGGGGTCCACCAGCTCCAGCCTCTGGTTCTTGGCCCAGGGCTGTCTTGTGCACTCAGTACTAGGCAGGGCAGGGAAACTCTGACAACCTGTCTGGGGCCAGAAATACGACAGTCTCCTCAGAGCATCATTAGCACACCCAAGCCCTCCCCAAAGAGTCCGCACAGCCAAGGGAAAACAAGGCAGGCCCAGGTCCAGACTGGGCTCCAGGAAAAAGGGCAGTTTCGTGGTACAGCCCCACCCACTGGTACCCATTCTCTCACCGTCTCACCTAAACTGAGAAAGGTCGCTAGCTTCTATTCTCTGTTCTGGAGATGGTCACTCTGCTGCTCACTAGCCATCCTTGGCTCCCCAGTGCCCAAGGTTGATCTCCATAGACAGGCACTCAAGGGCCTTCACAATCTGGCCCCTGCCAACTTCTCCTGTCTCATCTCCATCCCATCCCCCACACACCAGGCTGCAAAAAACGCCTAACACCTCCAGGCCTCTGGGCCTTTGCCCAGGCTGATCCCAGCTTGAAATGCCCATCCTCCCCACTCTGTCAAAATCCTTCTCAAATGCCACCTCCCCTGTGAAGCCCTTCCCAACCTTCCAAGTCAGATATAATCACTCAGGCCTCTGGGCCCCCCAAAGATATGTCTACAACTCAAGGGAGCCCCGACTGGGCATTTCTTTCCACAACAGAGAGCGGGAGCCGGGACCAAACCCAGTGTGCAGGGAGAAAATGGGTTCCACAGGGCCTGGAGCATTAGGGACCAGAGATGGGACTGAGGGTCCTATAGGAGCTTGGGGCTAAGGGTCCTAGAGAGGGTGGGGTAAGAAGACCCAGGGCACAGGGCACCAGTCACATGAGAGAGCCAGGATCTGCCTGACAGAATTCCCAGGTTCCCCTCCTCGCACCCCCAGCCCCTGTTCCTGCTGTTTCTCTGGGTCTAGGACTCCCAGGGCATGTCACTGGGGTGGAGGATTTACGCTGCGCTTTGAGACTTCTGGGGGCCCAAAGTGGGTCTCCCCAGGGGGGTTGGGGGCTGGAAGAACATCCCGGGTGTGGCACAGATTTCACAAAGCCAGGCTCAGCCAGTCACAGCTGGAAGGGCCTCACCAGAAAGGAACCCGAGGCCCAGAGAGGAAGGGGCTTGTTTGTCAGGCTACATGAGACGCAAGTGGCAGAGCTGGGAGGACCTAGGGGTCCACCTGTACAGCTGAGATCTTTCCCCAAGAGGTCTGCGCCACGGGGCAGATGATGGAGGCTGGGGGTGGGGGCAGTGATGGGAGTAGGAAGGGTGGACAGAGCTTGTCTAGGGACACAGGGTGGGGCAAAGCAAGCCTCCCTTGTGGCCTGGGCCTGCCAGGGTGTGTGGGCCGCCTGCTCCCAGCCCCCCACCCTGAGCATGCAAGAAGAACAATCCCCTTGTGTTTGGGCCGCCTGAGCCTGCATGCTGATGAAGGCTGAGGGTGGGGGCTGGGATGGGGGGTGCCTTGGAGGTTGAGAGGGTTCCAGGGCCTGGAGGAGCTAGGGGACCTTCAGATGGAAAAAGGATAGAATACCAGGTGCTGGCCTGAGACAAAGAGGGTAACCCCAAGAAACAGTGAGGGCCGGACTTGACATTTAAGCTCCTGGGGAGTCCGGGGGTTCGAAGAGCTCTTTGTGGGGAAGGAGGGCCCCTGGGGACACATGCTCTGTTGGTCCAGCATGAAGGTGATCATCCTGAGCTTGGTGGGGACCAATAGCCCCCAATCTGGGAGGAAGGAAATGCAATGAGCTCTGGGTGCATCCCTTGCAGACCACTCCCCAGGATGCTGGGGCCAGGTGGGGCCCTGGGTGCCACAGGTCTCAAGATGGCGGCCTGGGACAGGGGAGTGAGGAGGCAGGCACCAGGTTGGAGTGAGTAGCGGAAGCCCCCATCCCCAAGTACTCCGGCTAAGAAGCCAGGTCAGGGCTGAGGGGCTGAAGAGCCACAGGGCACCAGGGACCACTGTGAACCTCCAATTATCATCTCCACACCCCTGGCTTGGAGGTCTGTGTTGGGCCCCATTAAAGACTGCAGAGAACACGGGAAGGGGTGTGTACGGAGCCAGGAACTGCAGGGGAATGGCAGATGGGGACAGAGATGGAGCAGAACCAGGACCCTGGGCAGGAGATCGGGAGAAGAGCAGGTCCAAAGGACAGAAACAGCAGGTGGGATGAGGGCCTCGAATCTGGGGTCTTAGGTCCAGGAAGCTCCTCCCTGATGTTGGGGGCTCCTCCAGCAGACCAGCGCCCCCCATCTGTACAGGCCTGGGCCCGTGTGGGACAGGGAACGTGTTCCTCGCAGTCTCCCAGTCCTCCAAACCCAGGACCCCGGCCTGTGGTTTCGGGCGCCGGCTCCCGGTCCCCGGCCGAACCCCCAAACTTCGCGGCCCGCGGTGCCCCGCCCGGCCCGCGCCCTACCTCGCTGGGGCTGTCCTGCGGCGGCGGCGGCGGCGCGGCGGCTGGGCCGCTCAGTCCCACATTGTCCCCGGGAGAGGCGGCCGCTCACAACTGCGAGTGACATCAGCTGCGAACAATGAGGGGTTTGACAGGCGCGGAGCCCGGCCGGCCCGGAGCCCGGCTCCGCGCCCCCCCACCCCCACCCCCCGGCCTGCCCGGCCCGGCCCCTCCCCGCCCCCTCCCCGGATCCGATTACAGCGCGGCGGGCCCGCCCCAGTCGCCCCAGTGCCGCAGCCGCCCGCCCCGCCCCGTGCGCCGCGGTGCGCCCCGCTCGGCGGCCGCTTCGGGAGGGCTGGGCGACCCTCCCCGCAGTGCCTCCGGGCCCCGGGGTGGGGGCTCGGGGAGATCGGGCCTGGAGCGGGGCTCCAGCCGCCGTCCTCCCCACACCACCCGCGCTGCGCCCGGCCCCGAGCTCCTTCCGGCCGGGCCGCCTGCCCGGCGCCTCCGCCGACCCCCTGCACCCCCATCTCGGCCCCCGCCCCGCCCCGCTCCGGCTGGGTCCCTGGGAACTCGGGCTTCCACCCTCCGCCGGGCCGAGTTCCCGGGTCTCCGGCTCTGCACCATCCGTCCCCGCGCGGGGCTCTCGCCCGCCAAGACCCGCACCCCTCAGCCACCCGTGGCTTCTGAGAGGCCGGCCCTCGGCCGCCCAGGACATTACCGGATCAGCCGGAGGAGGGCCTGAGCGCGATGTGACCTCGGCACCCCGCCCGCGACTCCCCCAAAGCTACCCCAGAAGCCCTTCTGGGGCGAGGGTCGCAGGGAGGCCGGCGGAGTTGAGTACTCTGGTGGGGAATAGGTAAGCGGTAGGCGGAGGCTCTCCTCCCCCACCGCACCCTCGGCGGCCGCCCCCGGGCAGATCCACCGCCCCCTCTCCGTAATCGGCTCAGCCTGGCCCCACTGACCTCCACCTCCCCGCACAGCTGAGTCTCTTGGCACCTGGGTGTGTGGGGGTGGGGAGGGGAATCCAATCTCCCTTCCCCTCCATCTGGCCTGGTGGACAAAGGGCAGGGGGACCATCTGGTCCTGCCAGGGTGGGGGGAGGGGCCACGGTGGCAGTCCCAAGGGGCGGGGGAGGGGCGACGCTCTGGAGACAGCGAGAGCCTGAGGGGTCTAATTGCTTCACTTTATTTCACGATCTCCACTCTCCTTTCTACCCCCCAACCTGGAAGCAGGAAAGAAGCTTGGCTCAGAAGATCTAGGCCTGATAATCTGGAGCATCCAGAAAAAAGAGGGAAAACAGAGATATGAGGGTCAAAAGGGTGGTCCTCTCCTTTAGGGGGCAATTCTGGTCTGGAGTCAGCTGCAACCTGTGGGTGAGTAGAGTTCAGGGCAGGCCACACCCTAAGTCTGGCAAAGGATCTCCTGCAAGGACTGGTCCCTGGGGTCCCCACCTTCCCAGACAGTGGGGTGCTGCGTGGTTGGGAGGGCTCATGTGCCTATGATAGTGTTTGTGTAGAAGCACAAGCATGCGTGTCTGCAGGCAACGCAAAGCTGCACCTGAGCGTGCATTCAGTCAGGTGCATGTACGTGTATGTCCGGTCATATTTGGGAACATGTGTAAGCATGTACATGGGCATGTATGTATGTGTGGCCTAAGACGTGGCATAGGGGCTAGGAGTGCCCTTCGGGGGCAGCCAGCGGAGGCAGATGTGGGAGGGAGGTGGGGTTGGTTGGGCAAAGCAGGAGTGAGAGCCTGCTGGGCAGAGCAGAGGAAGGAGTAAGAGCCTAGCAGAAAGGCCTATAGCAGAAGCGCATCTCATGGGTTACCCTCCACCAGATCACGTCCCTTGATTCCTGAATGTTTTCTCTTGATTTCACCTCCTCCGCGTGTCACTACAAGAGAAAGAGGAAAAGACAGACCCGGAAAGATAAGCACTCAGACAGACAGACACACACACCTGTTGCATATGCATGGAGAGAGAGCCCCAGAAAGGCAAGCAGCCCACCCTGGACAGCAGGGCTGGGCCTCATGCTAGCCCCTGCAGGAAATCCAGCAGCCCGGTGTGCCACTCCTCGGGTTTGTCAAGGTAACAAGGGTGCCCCGCCCCCTTCATGACCAACACCCGGTGGTTGGGCAGCTGCTTCAGGTGCTCAAAGCTGGTCTGACCCATGGGGTCCTGGTCTCCATAGACAATAAGAGCTGGGGTCTGGAGAAAGGAAAGGGAGGCAAAGTCAACAGGGACCTGACACACCAGCCCCAGCCTCCTAGAGCTCAGCTCCCCATCACTTCAGTCTCTCCCTGGGGTCACCACAAATGAGGGGACGAGACAAGCTGGCCCAGTGGGGTGGGGGAAGCCAGCTCGCAAGGGTCAGAGGTGTGGATTTGTGTATGTCCCTGCACACAGTTTAGCTCAAGGCTTGGCCCGATAATCTTGGAAGTAAATCAGAAGGGTGGAGTTTGGCCCTGGCTGAGGTTTCTCAGTGGTTAGAGCACCCGCCCACACCGGAAAGTCTCGGGTTTGATTCACAGTCGAGGGCACGTACTTGGGTTGCTGGTTCGGCCCCAGTTGGGGTGTGCGCAGATGTTTCTCTCTCTGTTTCCCCCTCCCCACCTCCCTTCCACTCTCTCTGAAGATCAATGGAAAAAAAAAATCCTCAGGTGAGGATTAACAACAACAACAAAAACAAACAAACAAAAAGGGTGAAGTTTGGTGATTCAACTCTTCCCAAAGCCACCCCTTGTCTACCCCACTCCCAGATGAAGAAAGGCCCTGAGAGGGACTGTTCCTTGCTCCTGGCAGGAGCATCTACCTCCCACCCAGGGGTACCTTCACACTGGCATAGTCGGCAGCACTGATTTTGTCAGTGCAGATGGGGGCCACGGGCACATAGCCTCGGAGCTGGGAGCCAGGGGCTGTGAGGAAGGGCAGGGAGTACATGCCACTCAGCGACGGGCTGATCACAACCGGGGGTCCCAGGTCCAAGGCATCCACCACAGCTGCCAGAAAGCTGCTGGGGACCAGCTCCCCTATAGGGGCAGGGGCTGCTGCTTCCTTGGAGTGGCCCAGACCTGCAGGGATTTAAGTGTGGGAGAGACAAGACAAGGGCCGTGAGTAGGAAAACAGGAGAGAATCTCTTCCTCCAGGAAGCCCTCCTAGATCAGTCTCTCTGTGCCATGTTCCTGCAACATGCAGTGTGCCCGAGTTTATGTGTACAGCAGCCTAGATCTGTCATATCTGTGGCAAGCACGCAGCATTTCCCTCAGGTCTGTGCCCATCTCCCCCAGCAGTATAGTGCTCTGGAAAGAATCAGGCTTTGAAGTCCAACACAGCTGGATCCAAGTCCCAATTTTCCATTTACTATCCATGTGATGTTGGGAAAGTCTCCTCACCCTCTCCACTGCTCAGTTTCCCCATCTGTTAAAGGGAGAAAGAAGTATCTGCCATTTAAGATTGTTGTGAAAACTGAGCTAACTGCTAAGGGGCCCCTGTCCCAGAGATGGCAGGGTGAATGCCTTGCGGACAAGCTGAGGGCTGGTTCTGCACACTTACCTCCCCTCCAGTTAGGCAGTCCCACCATTCTCCCAGAAAGATTAGCTCAGGACCTTAGCCTTGAAGCTCAGCCCAACCCACTGTCAGAACCAATCCCATCTAGGCCTGGAGCTCACCCTTGGGCACTGAAACCATACCAGCCATGGCCAGTGAGGGGAGCAGGTCAGCTATGCAGGCCCTTCCACACTTGGCTCCAGGGGCCAGGGCCTGCTGGTCTAGGTTATGACGGCCAGTTTGGGGCTGCCCCTGTCTCCACCAGAACCTAGCTTAGGGCTTTCTACCTGGGATCATGACTACTGGCTTGGCCACCCACCAGGATTCAGCCTCCCTCCTCAGGTCTTCCATCAGAGCCTATGGTATGGCTCTGTCAAAATATTTTACTTCCAGTCAGCTGAGCACCAGTTATTATGTGTCAGGTACTGGCCACATAATCACGTGGAAAATATTCCACTCTCTAGAGCCAAACCCCAAAAGGGGTGTGGTTATCTCCCGTTACAGATGAGGAAACACAGGCTCAGAGACACTAAGACCCTGACCTAGGCACCGGTTAGAGCAGCCAGCCAGTGTCCAGAGGACGTCCGGAGCAAGACTAGAGAAGCTTGCAGTGCGCACTGTGCCCTAGCCTGGCTAAGTCCTTCCAGACCCCCAGACCCCAGTCCTGGGTCCCCAAGAAGGTCTCCACCACCCCTGTCCAAAAGCCTGCCCCAAGTACCTGGAAGGTCAATGGCCACAGCCCGGTAGCCAGCCTGGGCCAGCCTGAGCAGCGTGCCCAGATTCTGCCAGGTCTCGGAGGAGAAGCGGATCCCATGCAACAGCAGCACAGAGAATCGGGCGGCCTGCCCACCAGCCGGCCGAGCCTCCCGGAAGAAGAGGCTCTGGCTCTGCACCTGGACGGTGCCCTCATGCTGCTCCACACCCTCCATGCTGCGGCTGTGCCAGCGCAGTGCCTGCCGTTCAAGACCAGGCTGATTAGCCACAGCACAGCCTGCCCAGGTGGAGCAGGAATGCCACCAGAGGGCAGGGTCCAGGGAGCAGCGAGGAGGCCTCCCGGAGTGCTAGGAACATGCTTTGGGGTGAGGAAAACCAAGGTGTTATTTCTGCCTCTGCCGCTCACTTAACTGTGTGGGCTTGGGCCTCAGTTTCCTCATCTGAAATATGTGACATTAAAACCCTACCTCAAGAATTAACAAGTTAAAAAAAAAATAATTGGTAAGTGACAGTGTCTGCCCTTGTAAACGACTCAATACAGGGGGCTCCCATTATGATTACTGTTCTCATTGGTATCCTTTTCTACAAGTGGGGATAATGCAGTAGCACTTAGCTCAGAGGTGGCTGATGGGATTAAACGAGGCCACACAATGTAAAACACTCTGGGCCGGCCTAGCACTTAGTACTGAGCACGGTAGCTGCTCAGTCAACAGTAAGAAGCGGACTATTTTGCTCATCAACCTCTTCCTCTTCAAGACACTGTTATGGGTCGGGTCGCAGTTTGGTACCGCAGGCAGGAGGGGGTCGGGCTTTGTGGTAAAACACCCCTTTTCTGGAAGCGGAAACCGCAGCGCTCAGCGGGGACAGTGTTTGGAGTTCCCGCCCGCAAGGAACGCGGGGTGCTCAGCGCGCTGACGCCCGGGTCAGGGGCGCGATCCCCGGCGCTGCCAAGGCTCGCTCGGCCCCCCGCGAGGAGCTCGGGCTGGCTCGCCGGGCCTGGTAGGGCGCGCGCACGGGGAGGGGGTGGGGCTGAGTCGAGGGAGGGGACCTGGGGAAGTGGAGAAAGGGGAGAAACTGGGAAGGGGAGAAACTGACACTAGTTTCTGGTAGGTGGCCGTTCTAATTAGAGAGCAGGTCGGGGGGCAGGGCAGGTACCTGGGGAGCTGCGTGGGCTCGCACAGACCGGAAGCGGACGAGTGCTGGAGGCGAACCGGGCCGGGGCGGGACAACGGGGAAGGGCTGGGGCTGGAAAGCAGGCATGTGGCCAGGCCGTGCTCCGGGGCGCTCTCTTGTGGCCACAATCCGCTTCAGGGCCCATCTTCTCACTGCGACCTGTGTCTCCACGCCCCTCGGCCCCACAGGCCCCAAGCACAGGTCCAGGTGCTTTCCCGAGACCCTCAGCGACCTGCCCCTCCTTTCCTCCCTCGTCCCCAGCCTGGACAGCCCAGGCCCAGAGCTGTGCGCCAGGCATGCAGTTGAAGCCCAGCAGGTCTGAGTGTGCGATTCTGCCAGTGCCCAGCCAGGTAGCTCGATCGTTTTCCCAACGCCTCTGATCCTCTTTGCTGCAATGCAGAGTGGGTGTGAGGTCGCCTGCTTCTCAGGGTGCCAATAAAGGAGTGACGTGCAGACTCGTGCATGCTCCACGCGCTGCCTCTCTGTGCCGGGCCACCACACGTCGCCAAACAGGTAAGGTGCCAGTAAGGGACATGAGGGAGCCCAGAGGCCACCTGGGCCCTGACCGAGTGTGTGCCTGTGTGCACCTGTAAGGCCAGGAGAGTGGTTGGGTCAGCCCTGGTATTTACACCGCGAGCCCCCTCCGACCCCCCCCCCCCAGACTGTTCTGAGGCGTGGCAGGTCCTTAAACCCTTTGGACAACTCTTATACGTAACCCCACTTTACAGAAGAGCCCGAGTGAGGGTGGAGGCTCTGGTGGGAAGAAGCTGCGTGGCTCTACCCCGGCTCTCAGGCCTAAAACAATCCGGCAAATCTGGACGAGGGGCCGGGCCTGCCGGATTTGGGGAGCCGCCCCCAGCCTCCCCGCCAGCAGGGCTACTGGGCGCAGGGCCTGCGACTGCCGACTGCGCAAGCGCGCCTCGGTGGCTGCGCTCTCGGCCACCTAGTGCCGGCTGGAGCCTGGGGAGCGGCGGACGCAGCGCCATAGTCGCCGGGCGGTTTGGCTGCTGGTTCCGCGTGGGCGGGGCCCGCCCGGCGGTGGCCGGCCGGGGCGTCTCGACCGTCCGGGTGAGTCTCCCGGGGGAATGAGGCCAGCAGGGTGCCCGAGGGCGGACCACTGTTGCTCCTCCCTTTGCCGCCGGCGCCCTGGGCAGAGTCCGGAGGGAGGGGCGGGCGCTGGGGCCGTGAGTGTGCGTGTTCTGTGCAGTGCGCGCGCCCGTTTGCGTGTTTTTCGGGCGTCTGGGTGTACGTGTGTCGGCGTGGTGTATGTCAGTGTCTCTGTACACCTATGTTGGAGGGCGTCAGTCTGTCCGCCCGCTTGTTGTCCGTGTATGTCCAGTGTGTGATTTTCAGGGTGTGTACTAGCTGTGTCTACGTGTGTATTTCTGAGGGTCTGTGTGTGTGTCCGTCTGTCCGCCTGTGCACGTGTGTTTTGTGTGCATATGTAGTTTTTGGGTTGTGTGTTTGACGGTGCGGTGCATGTGATTTTGAAACCGTGTGTGTGTCTGTCCGTCTGCCTTCCTGATCCCTGACGGTGTGCATGATTTTGAGGGCGTGTATTTCATTTCAAAGGATCGATTTCTCACAGGCCAGTGCCAAAGAGGTCTAAGTTCAGGGAATAGCTTGTGCAAAAGAAAGGTGGGTGAGGGCAAAACTCAGTTCGTGTGCCCACGTGTACACCTGTGTGCCATTGTCCATGGGTATGCCAAGGCCTAAGCGGGTACTTCTCCACCCTCAGCCCCAGCCCCTGTATCTGTAGATCAGGCTGCCAGCTACTGGCAGGGTCAAGTTGTCTAGGGCTCCGCCTCCTGGTTGCCGAGGCGATGGCCGAATTCTGCCCCACCCTACCTGGAGAGGTGCCCCTGGCTCCACCACAAGGAGGGGCCAGGGCAGAAGCCCAGTCTGGTGGGAACCTGAGCCAGCCGCGCTGGAGGCCTGCATCCGAGGCTGTTCCTGGTCAGAAAGAAGAGAGAAGCACGCTCTTCCTCAGCTCGGGTCTTGGGTCACCACCTAACCTGGGAGCCTGATAGTGGGGGCTTGGGAAACACCCTAAGAGAGGTGGGTACAGCTGGAGACTCCCCAGTCCAGCCGGGGCCAGTGCCCAGATGGCCCTCAATAATGATGTTTACTGGAATCTGAGAACAAGCAGGGGTGCTCCTCCTAGGCCCAAGAAATGATGACAGGCCAGCCCCAGCTCAAGCCCATTGTGTTTGTTGACATCTCACCGGAGGCTTGGAGGGCAGCAGCAGGATTATCCTCCTATTTTACTGACAAACTGAAGACTCGCGGCCAGGAAGTGGCAGAGCAGAGTCCGAAAGCCAGGGCTAACTGCTCTGTCTGGGTCCTGGCCCTGCGCTCTGTCCTCTGGGCTGGCAAATGACCCTGACTGGAGGAGTCCAAGAAGCAAATCATTTGGCATGAAGCTGCGGGTGGAGGTGTGGCCTTCATCTCTCCAGCCTCCATGCTGCCCCTCCCACTTCTGCTGCCATTCTCCTGCCTGGCCACACCCCCCGCAGGCCTCAGCTTCTGCTCCTCCACAGATTCGCCATGCGCCCTCCTCCCACTTAACATCAGGTAGGCTGGAGAATTAAATATTCCCATCCACTGCAAAGCACATTCTGATTTTAGCATTATTATATACAGTGTGATAAAACCACTTTCAAACACCCCCTCAGCGGGACATCTCTTCACACAGTCTTCCACCTTTCATGACCCTCACCACTGTTCCACCAGCAAGGCTCCAGGATCCGTCACCTGTCACCTCTCAGCCCCATGCCCTCCTCCTTGGCAAGCCGAGTGTGGCCCAGTGGTTAGGAGCTCAGCCCTGGGTTCAGATCCGGCTCTCCCACTTGCGAGCACTGTGCACTTTGAGAAAGAGACTCTGCCTATCTGAGCCTGGTCCCTCCTCTGTAACACACCTATAATCATATCTGCTCCCCAGTGTTCTTGTGTGACTTCATGAGCCCTTGTGTGTGAAGGGTCAGGCACAGGGCCCCGCTGTCAAAGTACTTAGCTGGCACAATAATAATGGTGGTCACTGGGCATGTTATGTGCCAGGGGTACAACTCAGACGCTCCTCCTCACACTGCGGGGTACCTGAACCCTTGCCCTGGCATATGGAGTATTTGGGTATGAATCCTCAGACCCTTGACCAGATCAGGGGAGAGGGCAAAGGCTCAGCTTTTCCTCTGCTGAGGGCTTCTGGGTGGGGTTTGGGGATGGGGTCCAGGGGGCCTTGTGGGGCCTCAGTCTCAGCCTCTTCTCCCTCTCCTCGCCTCCTCCAGGCTGTGGTACAGATCTCCATGAGCCGGTCCCAGATAGCCCTGCTGGGCCTGGGCCTGCTGCTCATGCTGCTGCTGTACGTGGGGCTGCCAGGCCCCCCTGGGCAGACCGCCTGGCTCTGGGGAGATCCTAATGTCACAATCCTGGCTGGTTTCACCCCTGGCAACTCCCCCATCTTTTACCGTGAGGTGCTCCCTCTCCACCGGGCACGCAGGTGGGTGCTGACCCCAGGGTATAGTGGAAGGACTGGGCCTGAGGGGAGCCCCTGTGTGGGACCCCAGCTCAAGTCAGGGTGCTCAGGGCCTGGGAGGGCAGTGGGGAGGCCTCAGAAGAAAGTGGGCCACTGCCAGGCCCTCAGGCCCCACCCTCCCGTGTGCGCCCACAGGGTGGAAGTGGTGCTGCTCCATGGAAAAGCCTTTAACTCCCACACATGGGAGCAGCTGGGCACACTGCAGCTGCTGGCACAGAGGGGCTACCGCGCTGTGGCCCTTGACCTCCCAGGTGAGCGCCCCCACCCCTGGCTCTGGGGTGGCAGCCTGCAGCAGATCCAAGGGGCAGCTTCCAGAGGGGGGCTTGGAGGGTAGGAAAGCCTTGAGATGTGGCCAGGGGCATCTGGGCCCAGAATCTGGATGAGCGGTGGTAGGTCACAATACAAGATGGCGACACGAAAGGTCTGTGTGTTTATTTTTTACCTTGTAACCTTGTGTGGATTGTCGCACATCACGGGGCAAATGGAAACGTGCCTGACCTCACTGACTGCACGGGGAGATCTCCCCACACCTGTGACAGACGAGGGAGCTTTTTTGTTTTTCTTTTTTAGCTGTCAGATGATTCATGCTATCGTTATTGTCATTAAAATGTCAAACAAGAGTGACACTCTCAGAGACCTGTGCCACAGCTCCCTCCCTCTCACTTCAGCAGTTTGGGGGAGCCAGACCCTCTTTGGACATTTCCGCACATAGAGATTTGGGCAAAATGCAGGACTGTGTGATGGGAGCTGTAAACATGACTGGTGCTCTGTGGCTCAGTGACCCTCTCTGCAGCTTGGTCATCTCCCCACACCACGACTCGTGGATCCTGCCCGTCACTGCGGCCCTCCTCTCTGTCGTGCGCGCCATCGGGGGACGGGCAGGCCATTCCTTACAGTACTGGCGGATATGTAGATGAACGTAGAGTTCGCGGTGTCTGTTGATGTGCTTCAGTATCGAAGCTGAAGCATCTCTGGACACGCTTCTTCGAGCAGGTTGGCAACAATTTCTGTAGGGCGGCTACCAAGGACAGTTGATGAATTAAAGGACACACAGCACCTGGCCGGTATGGCTCACTGGTTGAGCGTTGACCCACGTACCAAGAGGTCACCAGTCAGGGCACATGCCCAGGCTGTGGACCAAGTCCCTAGTGGGGGGCATGCAAGAAACAGCCAATTGATGTTCCTATCTCTCTCTCCCTCTCCCTTCCTCTCTCTCTAAAAAAAATTAATAAAGAAAAAATATATTTTTTAAAACAAAAGGACACACAGCATTTAAATTTTGACAATTATTACCTTACCATCCAAAACTGCTATATGGATTTTTCCTCCCATCAGTCAGGTATGAAAGTGCCCATTTCCCCACATCATCCCCAACACTGTGTAGTATTAGTCTTTTTTTAGTTTTGTCAATGTGATGGATGAAAGATGTGGGGGATTTTTTGTTTGTTTGTTTTTTTTGTTTTTTTTTTTTGAGAGAGAGAGGAAGGGAGAGGGAGCGAGAGATAGAAACATTGATAAGAGAGAACATCTATTGGCCGCCTCCTGCATGCCCCCCACGGGAATCGGGCCCACAACCTGGGCATGTGCCCTGACCAGGAATCAAACCAGCAACCTCCTGGTGCATGGGTTGATGTTCAGCCGGTGAGCCACACTGGCCGTGTTGAAAGATGGGTTTTTGTTTTGTTTTTAAATCCTCACCCGAGGACATTTTTCCATTTTTTGTTCAGATAGAGTGGGAGGGAGAGAGAGGAAGAGAGAGAGAGAGAGAAACATCAACATGAAAGGGACACATCGAGTGGCTGCCACCCGCGACCCAACCAGGGCTGGGGACAAACTGCAACCAAGGTACATGCACTTAGCAGGAACCGAACCCGGGTCTCTCCGGACCGCAGGCCAACACTCTAACCGCTGAGCCAAACCGGCCAGGGTGAAAGATGGGCTTTTTTAGTAGGCCTATTACATCACAAAAAATAGCTTCTGGGACATCTGGAGTATCATGGGCCGTGTTCCACTGCTCCACACCTTTTCTCCCACTGTGCTGGGCAAACGTTCTGAGCTCCTTCGCCTCCCTCAGCCGGTCCCTCCTGCTGCTCCCAGGTTTTGGGAACTCAGCACCTGCGAAGGAGGCAGTCACAGAGGCAGGCCGGGCACAGCTGCTGGAGCGCGTGCTGCGGGACCTGCAGGTGCGGAATGCCGTGCTGGTGAGCCCCTCACTGAGCGGCCACTATGCCCTGCCCTTCCTGATGCAACACCACCATCAGCTGCACGGATTCGTGCCCATCGCTCCTGCCTCCACCCAGAACTACACCCAGGAACAGTTCTGGGCCGTGAAGGTACTGGGAGGAGGGTCTCCAAAGGTCCTGGCTCCCCGTTGTGGGGGGAAGTGACAGGTCTCATTTGGAAGACACATGGCCCCATCCCTGATCTGGATGGGAAAGATGGGTGTTGGGGAAAGATTTCCTAAGGAGATGGCTTGAGGGCCAATCCCCATCAGGCAGTAGGATCACAGTCCCTTGCCTTGCCCTGCAGACCCCGACTCTCGTCCTGTATGGGGAACTGGACCGCATCCTGGCTCGGGAGTCGTTGCGGCAGCTTCGTCACCTGCCCAACCACTCCGTGGTAAAGCTGCACGGCGCAGGTCATGCCTGCTACCTCCACAAGCCCAAAGACTTCCATCTTGTCCTCCTCGCCTTCCTTGACCACCTGCCTTGAGCTCACCCCCTTAGCTTGAAGGGTCTGGACCAGTCTCCGACCAGGGAGGCAGCCCCTGGGAATGGGGGGGGGGGAAGGCCAGAGGGCCACACCCAATCAGGACCTCTCATTTTATCATACAGGCACAATAAATAAAAGCGTTTTGTCATGCCCTGGGAGTGACAGGTCCTGCTTCCTGGTGGTGTTGCAGGGCAGGGGTGGGCGTGGGAAGAAAGTCTGGGCCTGCTCGGGGCTGGGAGCTGGAGGGAGGGCTCCATCGGCCTAGGAAGGCTAAGAACATCAGCTACTTCCTAGCTGCTTGCCCTCACCTCTCTGTGACTCATTTTCCTTATCTATAAAATGGGCATGATGGTAACACCTAGCTCAGAACGTGGCTTTAGGATTGGATGAGTCCGGGTAAGTGGAGCCCGTGGCCACACAATGCTGGGGTGAGGGGCATTAGTACTGCTGCATGACCACTGGGATTGGTGGGCACCAGGGCCTGGCAGCTGAGCTGAGTGAGTCAGGGATGCAGGACCTGTGGCCAAAGGGGGCAGGATGTGTAGAGGCGGAGGTACAGGATGTGGTCTAACAATTAACATGGTATTGCTGCTGAACCACCAAGCCTGCTTGCCCCTGGGTGTATGGGTCCCAGAAGTAAACCCCAGGAGGGTTGGGATGGATCCCTACCATACCTTCCCAGCCTGCTTCCTCCGGAGGTTCAATCTTTAACCCTGCCCCTCCCCAAGCTGACTTAGCCCCTGGAGCAAGGGGCAGAATTGTCTGAGAGTGCAAAGGGCAGCCAGGCACACAGTGAGCAGCTACAACCGTGCAGCCTGTGCGTGGCCAGTGGGACACCTGTGTCTTTATCCTCCCTCTCTGGTGGCTGAAGACCCAGGGAGCCTGGCGCAGGGTCAGTCAGGGGTGCCACCTGTAGGTGAGTTTCCCCACCTCTCACACTATCATACAGCATCACGCTTACATCCTCTCTCGGTGACATCTGTCTCAGCCGCACCCAACCACCATCTCTCACTCGTCATAACCGTGGTCATACCCACTGTTAGACGATCACACCGCGGTCACCATGCACCTCGCCGACCATTTGTCCTTCGTCCTCGTTTGTCCGGGCGTCTGTGCTGCGCCCTGACTGGGACAGAATCCTGAGGGTCCAGGGACCAGCCTGGAGCTCGCAGGCTGGGGGACACGTGAACTAATAACCTCCCCACACAGGGAGCTGGGGCAGTGAGGCAGGCCTTCCCTGCGGAGCTGAGACACCAGAAGGGGAGAGGGAGGACCGGCCCAGGGGGTGAAACGGCAGGCAGGGGCCAGCTCTGGCCGGACTTGGCAGCGGGGCACCTGAGAGCACCCGGCGCCCGACTTCCCGCGTCAGTACCCGCCCTCTTCTTCCGGCCCAATGTAGAGGCTGCAGGAGGTGGAGCCCTCTGGGGGCGGGGCCGTCGAAGCCCCCAATCCGGGTCCAGAGGCGGGGCCTGGGGGCGTGTCCTGGCGGCGGGACGGGGCCTGTGGGGGCGGGGCCAGCCCGGAGCTCGCAGGCCGGGCCCAGAGGCGGGGCCGGGGGCGTGTCCTGGAGGGCGGGACAGGGCCTGTGGGGGCGGGGCCAGCCCGGAGCTCGTAGGCCGGGCCCAGAGGCGGGGCCCGGGGGCGTGTCCTGGCGGGCGGGAAGGGGCCTGTGGGGGCGGGGCTAGCCCGGAGCTCGCAGGTCGCGGCGCGGAGCTGGCAGCGGACGCAGCGGTTCTGGGACGGGATCCGAGAACCGAACCTGGGGTTACTGGGCGGAGGCTGGAAGCAGGGTCGGGCGGAGACGGCGGCACTCGCAGTCTTCGGTCCAGCCCTGAGATCCTGGTCCAGCCACGTGGTGGACGGGGGGCGGTTCCGAGCCTGCGACTTCGCAGGACCCTGAGTCCCAGCCGCAGTACCAGGCAGGTACTGAGAGGCGAGCGTGGGCCCAAGACCAGCAGAGAGCGAGGTGGGGGCCCTGGAAAGGGGTAGGAGGATCTGGCGCTCCTTGGCATAAAATCCGAGCAACTGGGGAGGAATGTTTTGAGGGCGGAGGGAGTCCAGGTCTGGGTTCAAACATGACTGCCCCTCTCCGGCTGCCCCTGAACCTCTGAGCCAGCTCCTCTGTGAAGTGGGCATTCGGAGGCTCGAACTTCGTGGGGCTCTTTGGAGGACTAAGTAAGGAAGTGTGTTTGAAGTGGCCAGCGCCGCGCCGAAACAGGGTGTCCTCTCCGAGCGCGCCGTGCCGGGAGCCACCTCGGGGAGGCGCTGCGTGCGGACGGAGGTCACGGCCCAGCGGCCGGCGGGGGTAGGTAGCCACTCACTTTGCCCCCAGCTCACCACGCGCAGCGCCATGGCCAGCAAGGGTCGCGAGGGCGAGCACCCATCCGTGACACTCTTCCGTCAGTACCTGCGCATCCGCACCGTCCAGCCCGAGCCCGACTACGGTGAGAACGCGGCTGTTCCAGGGCCTGTGGTGGGGGCATCAGAGGCGGGGACTGTGCTTTAAACCAGGCTCCACCTCCTGCCACCCAGCTGAGCCCCACTCTGCTGCCCCAAATGGCACGTCACCCCTCAAGCCGTTCCCTAGCTCAGTAAGCTGCTCAGCAGCCTCTCCGGGCTGTGGAGGGACCTTTCTAGCAGACGCTGTGCTCCTCCAAAGTTACTCCTAGTGGCTAGCTGGGGAACAGCTTCACCTCACTCCCCCGGCTTGGGTGGGGGAGGGGAGACAGGGGCAGCCACTTGGAAGCAGAGGCCTCCAGAAGTCCACTGCAGCTGGACAAAGGCCACAGTCCTTAGGGAGTCAAGCTTCATGGCTGGGAATTGTGTGCATGGGTCCAAACTCCTGCTGTGATTTTCCATCTGAGATGCTGGTGACTCTCATGTCTGCACCATAGCGTCCCCATCTTTAAGGAAGACAGTAAGTAACGCCAGCTTCTAACCCTGGACTTCGCACCTGGCCTTCCACAGAGGATCACTGAGTGGCCCAAACTATCGTCTTCCTTGAGGGCAGAAATGCAGGTGTCTCTGAGAGCTGTGGAGTTGTGTTGAGGAGGCAGCAGCCCATTTTGGGGTCTGCTCCCCTCTCTGGATGTGCCTTCAAGCTCTGCTTGGGCTTGGGGGGGGCTGGGAAGGCAGAAGCAACCCCAGCACTGTGTGTCCGCAGGGGCTGCCGTGGCCTTCCTTGAGGAGAGAGCCCGCCAGCTGGGCCTAGGCTGTCAGAAAGTGGAGGTGAGCCCAGGGCCCTGTGTGGGGAGGGGAAGTGGGCCCGGGGCACCTCCTCACCCTGAACTGACCTTCCCTCCTGGTCCTCTCCAGGTAGCACCTGGCCGTGTGGTGACCGTGCTGACCTGGCCAGGCACCAACCCCAAACTTTCCTCCCTCTTGCTCAACTCCCACACGGATGTGGTACCTGTCTTCAAGGTGTGTGTGTAAGGGGGAGGGAGGGTGGGGAGTAAGATGAGGCAGACGCCTCAGGGAGCCCCTGGTGCTGGTCCTGGCACTGACTCGACCTCACGGGGCATCACTCCACTTGAACAGCCTTTGTCTAGCAGCTGTTTCATGCCCGGGCTGGGGGTGGAGACGGGACGCAGAGACGAGGGCTGGCAGTCCGCTGCCCTCTTCAGCCCCCTTCTGTGGCCTTCACCACCCCACCTGTCAACCCTACAGTGGGCTTCTCGGTCAGGGCCACAGTTGGGCACAGTGGATTAGTGACTGAATCTGGGGCTTGGGTCCCTCTTCCCATCCCTGCCCCCAGGAACACTGGAGTCACGATCCCTTTGAGGCCTTCAAGGATGCTGATGGCTACATCTATGCCAGGGGTGCCCAGGACATGAAATGTGTCAGCATCCAGTGAGTGTCCTCCATTCCCAGTTTCCTGCAGTATCCCCACTAGCCCCTGGAGTGACTCAGAACCTGGGGTGTGATTGGAAAACCTCGAGGCTGAGGAACATCTTGACCCCGGACACGGGGCAGGAATTACTGCTGTAACCGCTGCACAGCTAGGGTCCCCTGCCGGGCTTTCGCAGAGCAGGGCCCAGGGCCTGCGGCTCCAGCCTGCCCGCCCGATATCGTTGGCTCCCTCAGCACCTGGCTTGCGCCGTCTCGCTGCCCCTCAGGTACCTGGAAGCTGTGAGGAGGCTGAAGGCTGAGGGCCACCGATTTCCCAGGACCATCCACATGACCTTTGTGCCAGGTGGGAGTGGCCTGGGGAGCGGCGCCTTCAGGGGAGGCAGGGTGTGGGGGGCATGGCTCCCTTATCTCACACCCCTGCACCTTTCACAGATGAGGAGATTGGGGGTCACCAAGGCATGGAGCTGTTCGTACAGCGGCCTGAGTTCAAGGCCCTGAGGGCTGGCTTTGCCCTGGATGAGGGTAAGCAGGGTGGCAGGCCACTGAGTGGCCAGCAGGGGATAGGGGGGCTCCTAGTGGGGGCTGGGCCACTCCACCCTCTGAACCCCCTTTCTTCCCTCCTTAGGTCTGGCCAACCCCACTGACGCCTTCACTGTCTTTTACAGTGAACGGAGCCCCTGGTGTGAGTATGTTTTGGAGGGAGGGGTCTGGAACCCAGGGCCCCTGCCTCCCAGCCCCTCCTTGCCTGGGCTTCTCCTTCCAGAGCTTCTGAGGGCAGAGACCAGCCCTGCACTGTGTGCTGTGGGGCACGGAGCCCTGCGGAGGAGCTTGGGACGCGGGGCAGGCACGGGCCCACCCCGGGGCTGAGCACTTCCCAGACTCTCCGGTGCTGAAGGCACCTCCCCTGCCTCCCCCAGGGGTGCGGGTCACGAGCACCGGGAAGCCCGGCCACGGTTCCAGATTCATCGAGGACACAGCCGCAGAGAAGTTGGTGGGTGGCACCCAAGGATGGAGTCTAGGGGTTCCGGAGACTGTCCTGGGGCCTCTCTCACGTCTAACCTCACACTCTCCTAGAACAAGGTTGTGAGCTCCATCCTGGCTTTCCGGGAGAAGGAGAGGCAGAGGTGAGCGGCAGCCTGAGACCGGGCTGGGAGGCTGTGCCAGACAGGAGGGACACAGCCTGAGTTTTATCTCCTGTCCCCTTGCTGCCCCTGCCCCCACCACAGGCTGCAGTCAAACCCCCACCTGAAGCTGGGGGCTGTGACCTCTGTGAACCTGACCCAGCTAGAGGGTGGCGTGGCCTATAACGTGGTACCTGCCACCATGAGCGCTGGCTTTGACTTCCGCGTGGCACCAGATGTGGACTTGAAGGTGCCACCTCCACCTTGGTTTGGAGGGGGCTTGGGCCCTTGGTCCTGCCCACAGGCTCGGGGAGAGCCTGAGAGTCGGCCCATCTCCCGTCTCGTAGGCTTTCGAGCAGCAGCTGCGGAGCTGGTGCCAGGCAGCTGGCCAGGGGGTCACCTTCGAGTTCGCTCAGGTATGGAAGTAAGGACGGGGGAGCGTGGGAGCTGGGAGCTGGCCTGCCAAGCGTGTCCCGGTGGGAGTGAGCGCCTGGCGCGCCTGCGCGTCTGGGCATTGCTTTAGGGGACAGACTCATGCTGTTCACCAACAAGCATTAGTTGTGGAGGCCGCTGGGCACTGGGGAGCCAAATGACAGGGCGGAGTCCTTAATTCTTACAGCACGAAGGGGGATGGACATGGACCAAGTACTTATAGTTCTTTTTTCTTTTTAATCCTCACCTGAGGATATTTTTCCATTTATCTTCAGAAAGAGTGGGAGGGAGGGAGAGGGAGGAGAGAGAGGGAGAGAGAGAAACATCGATAAGAGAGAGACACATCGATTGGTGGCCTTCCCCATGACCCCCACCAGGGTCAGGGACCGAACCGTATGTGCCCTTGACTGGGATCAAACCTGGGCCTTTGGTCCCTGGGCTGACGCTCTAATGGCTGAGCCAAACCAGCCAGGGCTAGAATAATACTTTTATATAAATATAAGCATGTGGTCCAGGAAAGGGTGGGACCTTATACTCTGAGAGCTGAAACTGGAGTATTTGGCCAGTCTAAGAGGTCTGGGAGAGCCATCTTGGGGAGGGGACCCTTGGGCTGGGGCTGGAGGGTGGGCAGGAGGTAAGTCGATGGAGGGCAGCGGCAGGTCCTGTGAGGGACTGAAAGAGGCCTGTGCCTAGGCTGCCAGCTGGCTCTCTGGGTAGGGGTGTGTGTGTGGGGGTGTGCCCTGTGCTGGCACATACCCACCCTATGAAAACGGCCAGATGCCCAGGCCATGCCCTGATCCTGCCCCTCTTCCCCTCCCGCAGAAGTGGATGGAGCCCAGAATCACATCCACTGATGACGCAGACCCCTGGTGGGCAGCCTTTAGCGGGGTCTGCAAGGACATGTGAGCGCACCGGCCCGCCCTCCTCTCCCCCTCCCTCTCTGGGCGACCTCCTCCACCTTTCTTTGCCCCTCAGTCCTTGCCTTGCCCTCCCCCCCCTCTGCCGCCCTACTCACCAGGCTCTGCCCCCTGCAGGAACCTCACCCTGGAGCCGGAGATCTTCCCTGCAGCGACCGACAGCCGCTATCTCCGCGCGGTGAGCTGCTCGCAGGAGGGTGGGCAGTGGGGTGGCCCTGGACACTGGCCTCCCCCTAGTGGCTCCTCTCTGCCCTGCAGGTGGGGGTCCCAGCTCTGGGCTTCTCTCCCATGAACCGCACACCTGTGCTGCTGCATGACCATGACGAGCGGCTGCAGGAGGCCGTGTTCCTCCGTGGGATTGACATTTACGCACGGCTGCTGCCTGCCCTGGCCAGCGTGCCCGCCCTGCCCAGTGATGGCTGAGCCCCACACTCCCAGCCTCTGCCCCTGGAGCTTCCACCCCGACCAATGCCAAGGACCCCTCACCCCCCTGCCCAACAATAAAGTGTGTGTGTGGACAGGGGCCACTGAAATGCTAACAGCAAAGACATTCATGGAGCAGGGATGCTCATTTCTCTGGGGACGTGCTGTTACCATCTCCACTGCACAGAGGAAACTGCCCGGCTCTGGGCACTTCCCCACCCCCACCCATCCTGAACCTCCCAGCTCTGCCGCCCACAGGGAGCCATCTTTTCTGTTCTCAGTGGCCACCGCATCGGTATCTGTTACGAGGTCAGCTACCATTCCCACTGAGGGGACACCAGGACAAAGACCTCAGGGAATGAGTCCTGGCTTTCTGGGAGCACTGTCAGGATCCAGAGCTGACGGCCAGCAGGGCCCCTGTGCCCTGGGGCAGGCGGGGTAGCTGCAAGGCGTGACTGCTAGCAAGTGCCAACCCCCAGGCGACAGGAAGTGGGTGTGGCCCTGCTCGGGTTTGCAGAGCACAGGTCACAGAGGGGCAGCAGCCCTGGCAGACCCGGTCAGTTCATCTCAGGGTCCTCAGCACCCTGGGCAGGGATGATGGGTGTGTACAGTGGCCAAGGTGGACTTCAGTCGGCCAGCCTTGCCAGAGCCCCAGGCAGTGCCCGGAGTCGGCTGTGAGCCTCACTGACCTGGTCTAGTCCTGTTCTGACCTCCGAGCATGGCACAGGGGTGACAGGGAGGGCTGGCTTTCAAAGCTCCTAGCTGTGGCCAGAAGGGAAGCCCGGGGCTGCGGGCTGTCCTGATCGTAGTAACGCCCCTTGTGGGAGTCTCACAAGGAGCCGCGACTTGGCGCGCGTCTCGCCTCCCTCGAGCCCCACAGCAGCCCTTCCATGCCGGGTCGCCGAGACACTTTGGAAGCCTGCTAGGCAGCTTGCCCACCACGCACAGCCGAGCGCGGGCCCGAGATCTGAGAACGGACTGGGGACTCGGGCTTCCCACACAAGCTGGAGCTGAGGGCAGCAAGCCGCGGGCTGGAGAAAGCCTGGTTGAAGCTCCTGACCTGGGGTCTCCTGGGACTGGGGTCCAGCCTCCGCTTTCAGACTGGAACAGGATGAGAGGCTTCACACCCCCTTTCTAGGGCCTCACTTTGGAAGCCATCTGACCTGGTGACCTCAGGCCAGGCCCACCCACCTTCAGGTCACAAAACCTGCTCCTGCCCTGGCCAGTTTGGCTCAGTGGTTAGAGTGTCGGCCTGCGGTCTGGAGAGACCCGGGTTCGGTTCCCGCTAAGGGCACGTAATTAGGTTGCAGTTTGTCCCCGGCCCTGGTTGATCGTGCGGGTGGCAGCCACTCGATGTGTCCCTTCACATCGATGTTTCTCTCCTCTCTCTCCCTCCCACTCTACCTGAACAAAAAATGGAAAAATGTCCTCGGGTGAGGATAAAAAAAAAAAACCTGCTCCTGTCAAGATCCCACCTCCTATCTGACACCAGCAGACAGAAGGGCAGCTGGCCACCCAGAGAATGCCAGATGGCAGCCACGGCCTAGCAACCCAGCTCTGGTTGGCAAACAAACTTCCTGGGTCCCCGCATGAACTGCCGGCGTTCCAAGGCTAACTCCATCCCTTTGTAGCTCCACGATCTTGAACAAGTTTCCTATCTGGGAAACAAAGATAATAGTAATACCTACTTCAGAGGTAAGGGATCATATATCATGGGTTGCACCTGTTGCCCAGCGTAACAGCAACCCTTGTTGAGCCTCCCAAGTGCCCAAGGCTGGGCTACAAATTACATGACCACTGTCCTCAAGGCTGGCTTTTAGGGTTACCAGTGACTTACACATGAAGTGCATCGTGGGCAGTGGCAAGACAGCATGGATGTCCTCTTGAGCAAAGCATGTGCGATAAGAATTCTACAGAATGGCCCTGGCCGCTTTGGCTTAGAGTAGCACATCGGCCCGAGGACCAGTGAGTCACGGGTTTGATTCCGGCAAAGGGCACGTGCCTCGGTTTCAGTTCGTCCCCGGCCCTGGTCAGGGTCGTGCAGGATACAACCAGTTGATGTGTCCCTCTCACATCGATGTTTCTCTCTCCCTCCCACTCTATCTGAAGATAAATAGAAACATATCCTCAGGTGAGGATTAAAAAACTAATTCTGTAGAACGGTAGGATGGATGGGGCACTAGACTGACCTGCTCCAGATAAAGGGAAACACCTACACCCTTGCCAGGGGCAGGGCAAGGGCCTGTTCCCGCAATCAGAGCACAGTGGGGTGCAGGGGAGGGCTGACCCATCTTGGGGGGCTGACAGGAGCAATCTGTTCTGGCTTGGATCTAGCTTACAGGTGCAGCAGTGGTCACGTTATGGAGCAGTCTCCACACTCCACTGCCATGACCGGCTCATCTCACGTGCCCCTCCTCCCCCAGGCGCCCTAAGTGTCCGCCAGGGGCTTCAGCAGCAGCGACGCCGCTGGTTTGATTACGTTGACTGCACAGGAGACAGACCATAGCAACAACATACACACGTGCAAGAAAAGAGGCCAATTAAAAGAAGCAATCCAAATATTAGCAACATTTTTTCCCACCGTGTCCCCCAGGACCTTAACTAGTGTGCTAATAGGTCGCCTGAGCTTGTGGTTGGATCACTTAGGGCATTTACGTGAGATTTCATGTGTTAACACAGCGATAGCAGCAAATTCAGCTGGTATAAAACAGCATTCAGTTTGGGTGATGGCAGAGGTGTCTCCCTGTAACTGGATGCCACAGGAACAGTGGAAATCTGAGGTCAGAAAGACAAATATTTATAGGGACTGGAGTTGGAAGATCTTTGGTTGTGAATGTAGCCCCAGGGGGGAATCTGGCCAGGCTGCGTAAACCATACATGTTCCAGGAAAGGTGATGCTTTCTGTTGTGAAGAGGTGAACAGGAGGGGATGTGCCAGGCCAAGACCCCACTTCCTCCCCTTCCCAGTGGTCTCTGTACCAGTCCACATGTAGTGTCTCTCCATGGATCCCAACTGCACTAGGGTAACAGGGCCCCACTGGGGACTGAGCAGTTCCTCCCCACTCAGGGGAGGTCCCAGTCCCAGGGACAACAGGGCTTGGTGCCCTCATTATCACGGCCAGGCCAGGTTCATGTGTGATTACCAAGCAGACTGGGTGATCCATTTCCACCCAGAGAGCACCAGTAGGCAGTTGACTGCCAACTGCCATCCAGGTAAGTGGATTACCCAGGCCAGAGCCAGCGGTGTACCAGGCTCATTGAACTTCCTGCTCCTTCCCTGCAGACTGCAGGGCCTGAGACGGGCAGGAGCAGGAGCAGGAGCAGCCGCAGGTTGTATTCAGAGCCTCACAGTTGTTGCTTCTCCGGAGAGCACTCTCTGCTGTAGGTGGGCCGGCCAGGGAACATGTGGTTCATCCACCCTCTGATGGCAAGCTCTTACTCTGGCTGCTCTATCCGGGCGTATCTGATCTCTGCCCCCTCCACAGTAGACCAAAATCCCAGGGGCGCTTGCCCCTTTTGCGGTTTTTGAATTCTCCCACCTGGGCCTTCCAGGATTAGAGGTATCTAATTCAAATGGCAAAGTCTGTGCGATCCCAAGAGCTTGTCTGTCTGGCCAGTATCTTTGCTCTCAAAGGCAGCCTGTTCGGCTCCCCAGCTCCACGTCCCCTCTGGTATAATGGCCTTTTGCCAAACAGGGTGTAAAAGGTCCCCAATACTCCAGAATTCTCACAAAAGCCTGTACCTCTTTTACATTTTTTTGGTGTAGGGTAGGTTTGTACTTTTTCTATGACAACCTTAGGGACAACACAGGTCTTACTTGACCATCTGACTCCCAAAGACTTTCACGGTAGTGCCCAGACCTTGGATTTCCTGCAGGTTCCGTCCATCCTCGTAGGTGGTCCAGTCAAGCCAGTTCTCTGTAGCAGAGGCCGATGTTCACAGCCCATGTCAACCAAGCAGTGACTATTTCTGGGGGACGAATGGCCAGTCACACAAGAGGCCTCTGATCACCCCCTAGGGCCCTCACCTAAGCACAGCCTTGGCCTTCATCCTGTATTTGGGAAGGGGGGAGGCACCCAGCCAGCACACATCTGGAAACTCCAGATGGCTTCCCCGGCTCCAACAGTGTCTGCTGGGTAGCTGAGGGCATAGGACATTGCTGTTCAGGCCTTAAAATACTGCACCAGGTTGAAGATCAATCTTTGCTCTCGGGGTGCCTGAGGCAGCTGCTGGTTAGCCTCCAGGTCCTTTCCTACTGCATTCACTGAGTTCCAGCCTTCCCTGAAGCCCAGGCAGTCTCCCAGGCCTGCAAGGTCTCGTCCCACTAGGGGACTTGGCATGGAGACACATGCCGGGCACTACATACCAGGGGCTCTGCACAATCTTGGCTTTCACTCCTGCTGTAAAAGTGGCCTGGTCAGGGACTCAAACACTACGGCATAGACCACCCAGTGCACACGCAACTCCCAGAGTCTGCTGTACTTCTATGATTTCCGGGGCCCCACTGGCCCAAGCCTCCCTGCAAGACAGAATGACCCAATCTACTTGTGATCTAGCCACATCATGGAAGTCTCTCCTCCACACACGTCGGCCCCTAGACCTTGGGGAACCAGCACAACAAAGCGCAGGGGGTGCTGGCCAGCACACTAGGAATAGCGTGAGTGGGGAACACCTCAGGCCAGGTGCAAAATTCTTCAGCAGGATCCCTTCCCTTTCCTGTGTGTAAATGTCAAGACCTGTCCTGGCCGGTGTGGCACAGTGGTTCAAGGGTCGGCCGGAGCACCGAAGAGTCACAGGTTCAATTCCTGGTCAAGAGCATGTACCTGGGTTGTAGGTTCTATCCCCAGCCCCAGTCAGGGTGCGTGCAGGAGGGAACCAATCAATGTCTCTTTCACATCGATGTTTTCCTACTCCCACTCTAAATATCAACAGAAAAAAACCCTCAGGTGATGATTAATACACAAGTAAATAAATGTCAAGACCTAATAAGAATGTTTGGGATTTCTCCCTTTCCTCGCCAGCCTGCCCCCAACCATTCCTCATTCACTAGGCTCCCTTCTTAGATTCCAGGAACTACTTCCCATGACGCCCAGCCATATACACCCTACCAGACAGAAAAGGGTGAACTCTTCCCCACAGAAAATGGAGGTACCAACCCCACCCAAACCCTAGTCCCAGCCCTGGGATCAGGACACAGGCTGACGGACAGATCCTGCCTCAGATTTATTCGTACAGATAGCACAGGAGGGTACCAGCTCCATGTAGACAGCAGCCCAGGGGGCACATCAGTCCTTCCGTCCTCACGTCGGCAGACAGAAGCCTCTATTGTGGAGACTTTGTGGTGGTCTGGGCACCCTTGGGAGCGGGGGCCTGGGCACCCTTGGGAGCGGGGGCCTGGGCACCCTTGGGAGCAGGGGCCTGGGCACCTTTGGAAGCAGGAGCCTGAGCTGGAGCTGCAGCTGCACCTGAAGCCTGGGGCTTGGTCTGAGCCTTGGCCTTGGACTTTGGCCGGCAGAGCCTGAGGCCCTTGGCGATGCGGGCACGAGCATGCTTCCCAAGCTTGGGGTGAGCAATGTAGGCAAGTCGACTGAGCTTTCGGCTGCCGCCCTTTGGGATCTTGGGCTTGACCTCCTTGGGCTTGACCAGGGCCTTGATAGCCTCAGCACGTGCGCTCATGGCCTTGGCGTTGTTGGCCTGCATCTTCTTCAGGCCCTTCTTGTTGTGCTTCTTGGCAAAGCGCATGTTCCTTAGGAACTTGGGGTCTACCTGGAAGGCAGGAAAGGTAGAGGCACCCAGGAGACTATTGGGCTCCAGCCGAGGCCTGTTGAGGGCTTAGACAGCATCAAACCCAACCTTAAATGCTGAAATATCCACCCCTTAGAAGCTTTTCTGCAGAGACTCGTAACCATCCCAGAAGCCAATAGTCCACCCTGCTAATGCTATATACAGACCACGTTTTCAGGGATACATGCCCAGAGCCCAGCAGAGCTAATGCAGCGCAGAAGAAATGAAGGTGGCTCCCCACCCCCGTTGTAGGGCTTCAATTTCCTACAGCAGGGCAATGTCTGAGTTCTAAACTCCCTCAGGGCCACCCTGTCCCCTTAAAGAAAGGGGTCAGTTAAATGCCAAGCCTGGAACAACACACTCACAGCAAAGGAGGCAGAGAAAGAGACCAAGACATGACAATCAAGGCTCGGTTCGCCTGAGACCCTGCAGCCCCCACCTTCTCAGCTAGTCCTCAGAAAGCCCTGGCACAGAAGGGCAGGTGCTCCCAAGCCCAGCACTGGGCCAGGTCAAGGTCCGACAGCTGGTCAGTGTGGAACAGACGGTGCACAGGGTGTGCGGTACCCGCAGGCAAAGCCATTCCTTCTGAAGTGCTTCGAATGGGCAAGGGGCAGGTTACACCTAACCAGGGGGTTACACCCAGGGCTGGGAGAGCCTGAAGTGCAGGCGTAAGCTGGCTGGGTAAGGAAACTAAGCCAAAGCAAACCGAAGTTCGGTTAACAATGGTGCTCAAGCAGATGGGACACCTGGAGTCAGACAGACACCGTTCTAGGAGGTTCGGTGGACACACTCACCCCCTTAAGAGATTCGTATCTCTGTGATCTGGGTTTCTTGATGCCGTTTCTGTGCCATTTTCGGGCTGTGGAGCAAAAAACGTAATTAGATCAAAATAAGATTTCCTCCAATGAGGCCACTCAACAGGACAGCTGCCAAGCCTGGGAGAACCCTTACCACCGAGTGCAAAGCACTGTGGGCATCCCAGTGGACGCCTGGCTTGTAACCCAGAGGTAATACTGGCTAAAAGCAAGATCAGCCCTAGGACCACAGCAGCAGTGTGCTCCCTCGCCCTGCCCCCGGGGAACTTACACTGGTTGTGCGTGGTGTGGTTCTTGGACTTGGCCATCTCTGCACCTGGAGGACGAGAGTGGAGATCTGGGCTGCGGGCCCGCCGGGCTGGGCCTACGTCTGCCGCCCTGATGCGGAGGAACGCGAGGCCAGAAGCCAGAGGGGCTGCGGCAGAGAAGCCCTGCACCTGCGGCCTCCCCCCGCCCCGACCCCTCTGCACGCCCCGGCTCCCATCCCCGCAAACTCAGCTCATGGTGCCCCGAACCGACATCCCCGCCGCAAGTCCCCCGCCTATCCGCTCCTGGACAACCCGCGAGCACCACCCCTCCTCCCGGCCTCCGCTCCACGGCCGGGCAGCGGCCTCCCTGTCCCCCCGGGGCTCGCGCCCCGCCGCCGCCATCGGGAGGCGCCGATGGCTTCGGATGCCGCGCGGCCAGTACCCACCGAAGCCGGCGGCTCCCGAAGCGCGTGGGGCCGGAAGAGAAAGAGGAGGCCGCGGTGCAGCACGGGAAATACGGTCGTCCAGGCCGGAAGGTACCACTGAAAGAGCTTCCCGGGCGCCGGGAAGAAAGGTTCCGGGGCTGGGAGGGCACAAGTCAGAGGGGAGGGCGGGGTACGAGCCTGGCCCCGCCCCTTTCGGGTTCACCTTCCCCCTCCCTTCTCCTATTCCTCCTGGACCAGGTTCTTGGGTCCAGGTCTCATTAAAGCTGAAGGCAAGAGTCCTTGAGGAATGTGTTGGGAGGAAGTTCTTAAAAAGTACCCCTGGCTACTGCGTGGGGAGAGGACTGAGGGGCAGAGGAGAGGGGGAGGGCTGAGAGCAGCCGCAGAGCCGGGAGAGTGCTGGCGGCCGGGCGGGGCGGGGCGGGGCGGGGCGGGGCGAGGGCCGCGCTGGGGAAGGGGAGAGGACTTGGGGTGCAGAAGCTGAGGGAGTGGGGGGGGCCACGGTGGCCCCTACGTTTTTGGCTTAAATGGTGGTGCTGTTTAAGGAGATGGGGAAGATTAGGAAAGAGACAGGGGTTTTGTTGCTTTGTTTTGAGAGGGGTCAGTGATCCCGATGTTTCTTTTGATTTATTTATTTTACTTTTTTTGATTTTTAGAAAGAGAGGAAAGGAGAGAGAGAGAGAGAGGTCAATTTGTCGTTCCACTCATTCATGCCTTCCTTGGTTGACACCCCTGACCGGGGATCAAACCCCAAACCTTGGCTGATCAGGACCACATTCTAACTAAGCCAGCCAGCCGGGACCTCCAGATGTTTCTTTTTAGATGCAGTAAATGTGATCTGCCTACTGGATGTCCAAAATGAGAACGCATTGCCTACTGACAACTCTGTTGCCCCGTCCCGTCCCCTTTTACCCTGACAGTTCCTTTTCCACACAGCAGTGGGGCCTGAGGGTACTTTTTTTTTTTTTTTAATCCTTACCTGAGGATATCTTTGCATTTATCTTCAGATAGAGTGGGAGAGAGAGAGAGAGAGAGATGTGAGAGAGACACATTGACTGGCTGCCTCCCACATGACCCCTAACAGGGCTCAGAGACCAAACCACCACCAAGGTACATGCCCTTGACCAGAATGGAACCCACGACTCTTCGGTTCGAGGGTTAACACTCTAACTGCTGAGCCAAACCAGCCAGGCCCTGAGGGCACTTTTTAAGACAAATCAGATCTTGTCATTTAAAGTCTGCAAGGACTTCCTCTTGCATTGGAAATTAATTCTTGGCCTCCCCTAACCATGGCAACCATCCGCTTCTCTCCAAAACCATGCACTTCTTTCTTTCCTGCCAAACACAAATGCTTCAGGGCCTTTGCACGTGCTATTCCTCCACCTGGACCACCTTCTGCCAGCTAGCTCCTTGGATGGTGTACGTTCTTGCAGAGGCCCCTTGACTGCCCTATCTAAAATCAGGACCTTCTGACCCATCTACTCAGCTACTCTGTGGCCTCACAATGTTTGCTTCCTTCATAGAACTTTCCCAGGTTCTAATTATGTTCTTTGTTTACTTGTGCATGTGTCCACTGGCCCAAGTGCCATGAGTTCAGGGCTGGCTCAGGCGCCTTCACTTTCCCATTGCCTGGCACGGCACTTGATGTAGAACAGAAGCTTAATAAACACCTGCAGAGCAAACATCTCTTGGCCAGGCAGGCTCATGGAGCGACAGAGTATATTGCACAGAGTGTGGGAGTGAAGGGGAGGGAGGATGCGGAGGCAGGATGTGCAGCTGACTCCGATGGGAGCACTCCTGGGAAGGGGAGAGAAACCTGGCAGCCGTGAGTCAAGAGAATGAGAGGCAGGCCCAGATGCTGACGGAGTGGCCTACTGCCAAGAAAGAAACAGCTGAGTCCAGGGCGTGGCTGTGCCCAAGGCTACACCACAGAGGGTGTCGAGTGGACCCAGACTCCGCATCACCTTGAGATGGGGCACGAGTTGCTCATTCACAAAGGGTAGGAGCGTGTGGACCCTAGACAGGCGGTTCCTTCTTCACCATCTTTGTGTCAGAGGCTCCTTTGACATCTGCTGGTATTTATTGACCTCTTCTCAAAAGAAGGTTTTTAAATGTGTGAAATAAATGGGATTACAAAGGATTTTGATGAGTAGGAAAAGACATCTACAAATTACGATTGAATGAATAAAATCAGGTTACAGAAGAGCTTGTATAATAAAGTTCCATTTATGAAGAGAGAAGGGGGATGGAAGGAAGGAAGGAAGGAAGGAAGGAAGGAAGGAAGGAAGGAGAGAAAGTTATCCCTTACATATGGTGACCCACCATCTTTCCCACTTTGAAAAGCGTGACAGGACAGAGGCTCCAGGTCATGGTCTCCTTTGGCCCCTGAACAAATACCTTCAGATCACAGCCGAAGCCCCCTGACCCTTGTCACTGCCTCCTCTTGCCCAGCAGCCAGGATTTCAGCCTGGGCCTGTCCATCTAGCAGCTCCAATGGTACGGCATGGCCATCACCCTCTCCGAACCTGCCTCCCGTCAGACTGGCGCTCTGCTCGCTCTGCCACTGTCGTGAAAGTGGGTGCTAAAATGAGGACAGGACCCAAGGGAGGGCCAGGGTGGAGGGAAGTGACAGTTCTCGAGGGTGCTGGGTCCCCTCAGCCCTGAAATTCCGGAGGGACAGGGACCATCAGTGTGCCAAGATGAGAGAGACCATGAGTGGGTTACCAGAATCAGGATGTTTTACCAGAGATTGTGAGCTCCCTGATACAAGGGGTGTGCAAGCAGCGGTCAAATGACTGGAAATGGCCCTGGCCGGTTTGGCTCAGCGGTTAGAGTGTCGGCCTGCGGTCCTGAGAGACCCGGGTTCGGTTCCCGCTAAGGGCATGTACCTCGGTTGCAGTTTGTCCCCGGCCCTGGTCGGTCGTGCGGGTGGCAGCCACTCGATGTGTCCCTTTCACATCGATGTTTCTCTCTCTCTCTCTCTTCCTCTCTCTCCCTCCCACTCTACCTGAACAAAAAAATGGGAAAATGTCCTCGGGTGAGGATAAAAAAAAAAAAGACTGGAAATGGAGGTTGAAGTGTGGAGTGGAGAGTTAGAAAACAGCCTCTTAAGTTCACTCCCTCCAAGAATAGGGTTTGGAGCTCCGGGGAGAAGGAAAGGTGGCGGGCAGCGTGGGATGCCAGGCTGGGCCCAGCGTCTGGCGGGAAGGGAGAGCAGTTCGGGCAGAGGCTCGGAGGCACGGCCATGAAATATGCCTCACCACTCAGGCCTCTGGTTTTCGGGCTGTGGGGGGGCGCCTGGCCCAGGATGTGAACCTGCGGTCCACACGGGGGCAGCATTGGACCTAGGATGGAGCAGACATGGGGCACAGGGAGCTCCCCTCCAGTGGGAAGCCCTGGACCCCCCCAGACCTCTCATTTCCCACTTCTTGAATCCATCCCCCCACTCCCCTACCTCAGGACCCAGGCTCTGTCTTGGCCTGTCCGTATCCACCCCTGTTCAGTGCTGCAGTAACACCCCTCCCAGGCCCCAGCACCTCCGGACTGAGTGAGGGAGGAGGAGGCCTGGCCCCGTTTAGGGAGGCACAAGGGACACCACAAGAGCAGAAAGGAGCTGGGGATCTGAGGAGGGGCACAATCAGGAAGCCTGGGGACCGTAAAGGTCCCACGAAGAGCCTCATGAGCAAGAAGAGCTTGTGGCCATAAGCAACGGCTTTTGGTTTTTTCAAGCTGTGGGTCCTTGGGCAAACGACCCAGCTTCTCAGGGGCTGCCCCTCCCGCATCCTCCACCCATGCCCCATGTCAAACAGCGTCAGCCACCCAGGCTAGGGGAGATTCTCCAATGCAGAAGACAGAAAGGGTGACTGACCCCTGGCCCCAGGCGGCAGACCGTGGACAGGCCCTGTGCGGCCCAGGGCCTGCAAGCCCTTGTCTGCTGGGCCAGGGCTACTGCTCTGATCACCTGAAGCTCTGCTGTGTGCAGAACCTGGGGAGCAGGGCGGAGAGGAAGCCCCAAGATGCAGGACAGAGAGGGGTCCGTCTAGGCCGGGGCCTCTGCGGCTTGGAAGAGGGACTTGGAAACCCTGCTGGGAGACAAGGCGTGTGGCTGGGGCTTGAAGGCAGGCCACGGAACACCCAGCAGGAGGTGGGGAGGGGGTGGGGAGCATACAGTGGGCTGGAGGGCCACAGGCTGGCATTTGCTACCAATGGCTCTCTGGCCCCAGGCTACAGCTGACCAGGGCCTCCCTGAACTGTCACGGTACCCCTAAAGCCCCAGAGGCCTAGCCCGCAGTTGGTGTCCTCCCCAGCACACAGCCCTAAGTCTGGGGGTACAGGAGGGGGAGCGGCATCCTGCTAGGGCCTGGAGCCTGGAACCACTGGTCCTCGCCACACCCTCAGAGCAGCCTCACTTGTTAATCCATGTTGCAGATGGAGACACTGAGGTTCAGAAAAGTGAAGTCACTTGTCCAGGGTCACTAGCTTCTTCTCCTCTGCCAAAGCCACTCCAAGAAGCTCTTCTGGGCTTGAATTCTGCCTGAGACTCACACTGATGTCAGGAAGGGGAGGGACCCTGTGGCGGAGTGTGCTCTGGCATCCACAGGAGGGGGGCTACCTTATCCCCACCACGCGACATTGATCAGTCTGCCCTTCCGTGTCCACCCACACCTGTTCATTAGCTGGGCGTCACATCCTCCAGCACTGCGGGTCCCTCCGGTGGTGCAGACTGGAGCATGACCCAGATCCTGCCGTGACACGGGGTGACCGAGACTCAGTCCTCACCTGTAAGAGGAGGAGGAGGGCGCTACCTACTTGGCAGCTTGTGGTGAGGCTCCAGGGACCGTTCACGCCAAGCACTTACCAGGGCCTGGCCCGACATCTGTCACACCAGCAGCCCTGCTGGGACAAGACTTGAACCAGCCAGAAAGCCAGGCAGGCAATATGGGGTACTTCCCCACCCCCCAAATCTCCAGAGGCTGCCCACCCCTAAGCTGCCCTGCCCAGAGGGGAATCGGAGAGTGGGGTGGCGGAGGGATCCTCTGCTCACCGTGGGCAGGGATGTTGGGGACAGGGCCAGCAGAGGGCGGGCTGAGGAGCAGGTGGGGAGC